CGTACAATTGCTGTGATATGGTGTAATATTGAAGCCCTAAACAAAACTGCGCTTCAAAATCATCATGAAGTGCTTCACAAAAGTAAAATCTTTGAGTGACCGGTTTTTACCATACTCATCTCCCCAATAGACTGTAGTGTTATATTTAAAAAAACGTTGGGAAAAAGGTTTTGACATTTCGAATTCTTATCATAAATATCTTGATCAAACATGCGATTAGCTTGTAAAAGTCATGGGATTCATTTCTGACATAAAGGTTTATAATATTATGATTGCAGCTGCATGAGCTAAATCCAGGATTTTGTTTAAAATCAGAGGCAAAGTTACCTAACACCTCTAAAAGAGTTTCAGATAGCTTCTGCTAAAGAGGAGGCTTGGTTTTGATTTAAAAAGTCATGAGAAGGGTTTTTGTCTACCCAACTATCGAAAAATGCTACATTATTTATATTTTCTTTGAACTCCTCCAAACGTCATGTAGGGGTGGGCAGGGAAATTCGGGTCAACAGCTTTTTCACAAAGGCCTCCAAATTTTTGTTCCCGATATTAAACAGACAATTATGAATACTCACTCACCATGGAAATCTACTATAGGAGGTTTCCATGGTGACTTGGTATCTGCCTTTCTATCTCCAAAGGGAAAAAGGTTCCTTTGTACTTGTGGGAATTCCCGTCCGCCCTGGAAAAAACCCCAAATAACCTGTAAATTCCCGTTTCAGGCAGTATTGCATAATATTTTTTGAAAATCCCCATAGTTCACTGATCAATTCGAGGGAAGAAAAATCATGATGTGAGTAGGTTTTGTGTGCTTTATCATTGTTGCAGGTTTTGTATGGCGTTAAAGACAGGGTATTTTCCCTTGAAAAGCACTTAAAGCCGTCGGTCCCTGGTTGCTTACTTACAAGCATACATATGCATGCTTAGCACTCAGGTAAAACAAACAAATCAACCTAATAACCTAATATTACCGAAATCGCTGTCATTGCTTTAAAGAATTTTCAATTGTGCCATCTTTCTTTGAAGGCGTTTACGAAATGGCGATTTCTGGTTCCTGTACTCCAGCCCTAAGCATCATCAAGCGCGCATCATCAGTTGGTAATGCATTATGGAACATGGCTGTCGACACATCGCGACATTGTGAGCAGCAGTCTTATAAAGAGTTGATGATAATCGCAACTATGTACATAACAAGGGGGAGGCTGCAAACTTGTGATTGATTGGAAAACTTCGATTGACTTTGATAAATCACAACTCTTTATAAGACGGGGCCCAAAAAATGTCAGTAAACCTACATCTGAAATAGTGTCGGTTGAATAAACAGCCTTTAAAGTCTATTTACCGTTTTGAATGGGAGTTATATAGTAGTTCAAGTGTAAAAAAAGCCTCTTTTGTCTGTTTATCCCCAACCATCCGAGCATGTTATTGCAAAAAATCCCATCAAAATCCCCTCCCTAGTTTGAGTGAGGCATGTACGACATTGATGAGCTGGAAAGACCTGTTTTGTGTGTTCGTTTTGAGAAAAAAGGGTTTTCAAACATTGGGACCCCAGTTAAGGTTATTGTATAACATCAAATATTCTAGTGAGCATTTTTGAATTGGAATGAAGTAGTTGATATGGTTTCGCCACCCTTCTCATTTCCAGATGAGTCTAAAAAATCCCGTCTCAGGAAAGATTGCAAATTAATTTCCAAAATTCCCTAAAGTTTACTGGTGCATCATCATGAGCGACCTTTTTGCGTTTTCGAGAAGAAAACAATGTCCACTTCTGACTTCTGGTGCTAGGTTCTTATTCATGACCAGCACAATGTTACTGCAACAGAAATGACTCAAAATTTCAAGTGATTTTTCTTGTCAAGTACAATTTATAGATCGGAGCTTTGTTGATCAAAATACAACGATATAGCGTCACTACGGGGCGGGTGACATTCAACTGCTATGTGTGGAATTTTAGTAAAACAAAGGCTTGTCTCATTTAAGAAGGAAAGTGACTTCTAGCGAAGTATATATGCGATGACTGTCTTATGAGTATCATTCTATCGTGGGGTTTGACCAGGGAGACGGGAGGGATTCTCCCTGTTTTAATGGTAGGGAAATTAACGCAAGCAGGCAGAATGACAGATACGTAAATATTTGCCTACCACTACCAGAATCCAGGTACCTTATTCTAAGAACCTACCATGTGTAATCATGTAATAGGTCACTTTGGTAACAAGCTTTACATTCAAGGTGCAAACATAACAATCATTCTTCCTGGATATTCGATGTATATTTTGTTTGTTGAGATAGGTTTTTACCCCCAAAATGAAAAAAATATACATACCTAAAGAGGAGGGCAATTTGTGTTTTTGTTTTGTTCGTTTCTTTCTTATTATTATCATTATCGTCGTTATTATCACCATTATCATCATTATCATTATCATAATCATCATCATTATTATAACTATTCATTTGATTATTATCATTATTACTATTAGTAGTTGTAGCAGTAGTAATAGGATTATTAATTTCATTATTATTGTTATCATTATCATTATTATTATAATCAGCAACATCATTATTATCAGGAAGAAAAAGGGAGATGGCATGGAGGGAGAGAGAGAGAAGTGGAACAGGTGAAAGATGGAAACGGAGAGAGAGAGAGAGAGAGAGAGAGAGAGAGAGAGAGAGAGAGAAAGATAACATAAAATAGAAGAAAGAAAGAAATTAGAAGGGGGTAGATCAACAATAAGCCATGGCGGATTATCATGTTGCGTGCAACAAGAAAGTTACCAATTATGTTTTGCCTTTTTTCTTCTTCTGAAGGACACCATGTTCACTCAAACAGCGGGAAAAAACCCCACAACCCTACACAGGTAAGTATCAATAGGTCATTAAATTATGGTGAACAATCTCACAACGGAGGATTCATAAAAACCCAAATCAGCAAAATTATTGTTAACCTAATCTTAGTGATATGAATATGCAAATTGTGCTTTTTAATATTCCTGTAATCGGAGTTATCTTCTCGAGATTGTGTTGGAGCAAGTAAAACGTAGTTGATTATGACGTAATTGATTGATTTATATTGAATCATTGACAAATGAGATTGTAACCTAAACTTTCAATCTCCGATCTGACATCAGGTCAAGGTCAGTTCTTAGGCAAATACGGGGTCTTCATAATTCATACATGTATATCTTCCCACGATGAGTCAATTTCCAACTACTACTACTACTACTACTACTACTTCTACTACTAATACTTCCACTACTACTACTACTACTATACTGCTGCTGCTACTACTACTACTGCTACTACTACTACCACTACTCCTGCTACTACTTCTTCTACTACTACTACTATACTAATACTACTACTACTTCTACTACTATCTACTTTAACTTCTATTATATCCTGCATCAAAAATTTGTTGGCTTTTGATTGGTTGAGAGCTCGTCACATGACCAAAAATATTTGAGCTATTTTTAGAAAGTACTATATGAGAGTACTATTTTGGTTTACTATTTGGGAGTTGGAAAAAAAATGTAATTTTTTGTTGTTGAATTGAATCAATTTTTTTTCTTCAAATCTAAATTTAATGAAAACAAAATATTTTAAATCTTTTTAGATAAAAATTGACATTATTTTTGTTCTAAATTTTTTTCCCCAAAAATGTTTTTTTTTTAAATTAAAAAAAAATAAATTTTGATGCAGGATATAAAACAAATATACCATGCCTTCTATTCGAGGTACTGGTTAAACTATGGGCCTCGGTGACTCCAAAAGTACCATTTGCTTCGGGGCTGCGCCCCCCCAGCAAATAGTACTATTGGAGTCACCTCTTGCGCATAGTTTTAACCAGAACCTCTCAAGGCAGTGTATATTTGTATACTATTACTAATACTATTACTACTCCTAGTACAAGTACACTGCTTCTACTATTACTTCTACGACTTGTATAGCGCTCATCTCTGGCACATTGGCACTCCCAAAACTCAAAAGCACGTACGGAGTAACATTAATTCAATATAACCGATGTATAGTTGTATATTTTGCAGGGGCGTAGACAACGGGGGGGATGAGGGGGATGCATCCCCCCCACCTCACAAGGTGGGGGGGATGGCATGTACAATCATCCCCCCCCCAGGTTTTGGGAAATGATATTTGCTTACTTAATAAGTCATAATGATGATAATAATAGTAATAATAATAATGATAACAATTATAATATTAATAATAATAATAATTATGATGATGATAATAATATTCCTATTCATTATTGTAATTGTGTTTATTGTTATTAGCCGCATTCACACGGTGAAAGCCAATTCAGACGGTAAAAAAAAGAAAATCTTACAAGTATTTTGTGGTTATCTTGTGGTTTGGAAACCACAAGATAACCACAAGATTAAACAGGCGCGGATCTACGGGGGGGGGGGGTTTAGGGGGTTTAACCCCCCCCTTGGGCGGCCCAAAAAACAAACCAAAAAAAAAAGGGAAAAAAAAGAAGAAAAAAAATAAAAAAAGAAAGAAAAAAGAACGCACGCTGGAGAGAAACCCTTTCAAGTGCAAATATTGTGAGAAGATATTCAACTCATCTGGTAACTTAACCAAACACATGATAACTCTGGATATAACTGTGTATTTAACTGTTACTTGATTTAAAAAGACGTTATCATGCACTGCTTTTTTATGGTCTCCATTGTGTTAATAGATGCCAGGAAAACATCACTTACGGGGTTCAAATAAACACCCCAAAAAAAATCGGCTCGCCGCTTCGCGGCTCGTGGACGATGCTCCGCATCGTCATTATTGGTCACCCCCCCCCTTAGCAAAAAGCTAGATCCGCCCCTGAGTCATCCCCCCCAGGTGTACGAACCTGTCTACGCCACTGATATTTTGCAATACATTGGGACGCACCAACTCCATACTTTTGAATTTACCTAATCAATTACTTTCTATATATATGAAGACATAAAACGACAATATCAACAACAAAAAGGTAGTATCGAATAGTGACATACCAGTGGTGGGTTTCGTTGACACTGTTGTGAAAGTCGAGTTGGTCGGCGTTAGCGGTTCTTCTGAAAGAAACATTAGAAAAGGAAACAATTTATTTCACCAAACATGACCACAGCAGCATTTTTTTTCTTCAAATAGAAATAGTCAAAGTTTTACATTATATGAGAATAGTGAGCAGTTTATGGACAATCGTTTAATCTGGTATTTGTCTTAAATATGTTAAAGGTGGCCTGTAGCGGATCCAGAATCTCTTGGAAGGGGGAGGGAGGTGGCGATTGTAGAAAAGGTGCATGTATGGTTGCTTTTACATGTTAGATTAGCGCAGGTAATAAGATTTTCAGGGTGACGCCTGAGTGCAACAGGAATTCAAGAGTGTCTGTGCTGACGCACCTTTACGTCAGCAGATAACGATTCGTTTGTAACGGTTCAAATCGCTTCCATTTCTAATTATTTCAGATTTGAGTATCATTCATTCATCTCTTTATAATGACATGTTTAATTATCTTTTTTCAAGGGTATTTCGAGTATGGCACAATTCACATTGAGAGGATCTTTGTATTTAAAGGGATGATTGTTTGTATTTTGTTTGCTAACAATAGAGCCTTAATCACCCGGGGGCTTTCATTCCGGAAGTCTGGCGACACCACTTACCAACTTCCAACGTCGAGATGTAGCGCCAAAAGGAACTCGTACAGGCGCCAGAGGTTTGACACATGGAGTAACGGCCTGCGTCTTTCTGCGTCACTCCGTGAATGACGAGCACGCAAAGTTCACAACCCATACCCATGTCCTCTCGGAAAGGGTCGTTGTCGGGAGCTCGGGCCACTTCACAGTGTCCATAGCGATCTACGGTACATGTCGGGTTCGGAGCGGACAGATTGAACCTATGGTGCGTACATGATGAAGAAGGTTTGTCACAGTATTCAAAGGGGATATTTACGGTACCTCCGACTCTAGAAGTGAATCTTTCCTGAACACTATGTATACCTGAAATGATGATAATAATGATAAAAAATGATAATAATAATACAAATATGATAATAACAATAATATTAGTAATAGTAATAATTATAAGAGAGAGAATATATATATATATATAGAGAGAGAGAGAGAGAGAGAGAGAGAGAGTGGGGGAGGATGAAAGACAGATATAGGGAGAAAAGGAGAGATAGAGCTAAACAGGCAGAGAATTAATTTATGAACTCCAAAATATTATGCGTTTTATAATTAAAGTAAATAGTGTGACAAACAAGCCTTTTATTAAGTCAAAGCAGACCGGGAGCCAAATATCTGAAAAAGCGGCTCCCGGTCCTTATTTTTTTTCGAGAACCGGGAACCATTTTCCAGGACCAGGAGCCGTTTCCAAAATTGATGAAAATATGTACCGTTTTCTTTTAAATTATTTGTTAAACGTTACCTTTTATTTATACATACGGTAGTTTAATTTTTTGTTTAAATTTTGAGCACTCTAATATTAAATCACTCATACCTTAGATAAATCTGTCATTTGTAGTTGTTGTAGTTCATGTTTAATACTATTTTCATGCCGTTAAATGTCAAAAATTTAAAAATGTTGGGAAGGGGGGAATTAAATTATTTCTATAAAAAAATATTTAAGAAAAACCAGATCTATAATGACAATGCAGAGCTTCCAACCTGTCGCTTTCCAAAAAACATATTATTCAGCTTGAAAAAACATATTTTAGGTGAAAAAAAAAGATTATGCCTGTTTTACGTTTTTGTTATTTTCCCTATAAAATGCTATTGCATTCATGTTTCTTTGAATAAAAACGCATTTAATCATTGAGAACGACCGACCTGTCAAAATAATAATAATAATAATATAATAATAATTAGAAAATTTACAAAAAAAGATTTGTTAAATATATTTATCTATTTTATCAGAAAAGTCCATTATTCAAAACATCACAGAATTTTAGTCAATGAGTACGAGGGCCGCTGAATCAAGGCAAGTCTGGAGTTGCAATCAACTTTGTACATAAAGTCAATGCAGCAGATCCGGTGTTTTGATTTTCATTTGCTTTTTTGAAGATACCATTACATTCGAAGGGCATGCGATAGGCAAAAAAACTGGTAACAAAATCGCTGATTTCTTGATTTTTAGCGCTATTTTGATGAAACTGTTTCTTAAAACTGAGCTTAACCCCCGTGAGCTTTGGAAATATGGCTCCGATTCCGCATTTTTGACAGCAAAATTTGGCTTTTCGGATGGATTTTTGGAAGTTACATCGAGACTTTCTTGTACTGACACTGTGTGTGTACTGCAGTACAGCACCGATGTCATTTGTGTGTGTATGCATGGCCTGGGCTGGGGAAATGCGCTCGTCTTTGAGTGGTGTACATCCCCTGTATTGTGTGCTCCGTTCTCCGTTAGGAGTAGGAAATAGCGGCCGCTCGTATTCGTGCTGCAATTGTTTCTGGGCGATTTTAATTAGGATTCTCATTATAATGATTTGTTAGGGTTCATTCAGTCCACGTATAACTTGTATCAAGTAAGTTTTTGTCACATTTGTGAACATTTAGTGCTAGACATGTGGAAGTTTATGAAACAGAAAATGTTAATTCTCCCAGACCGGGCGCCAGAAATAAAAAATGACCGGCGCCCGGTACTCATTTTCCCCGTCTTACCGGGCGCCAAAAGTCAGGGACCGTAGGGTAAAAATCGCCCGGCGCCCGGTTAATAAAAGGCTTGGTGACAAAGCCTACATGACCGTAATTAACAATAAAAACGACTTGAAACAGTGAAAAGCAATATAACATGAGCACATTTCCCAACAACATAATATCAGTCAATTTTTTTTTACAAAGCGATTTGAAACTTGTTTCAAGGTAAAGACCAGTATTGGAAACGCCCCAATTTCAAAAAATGAAATGGAAGCTCTCATTACCAATCATGTGAAAGAATATGTTTTGACTAATACACGAGGATAAAAAATTTGCCGGGAAACAGCCTATTAATTCATATATTTGGTAAATTTGTTTCTCTCATGGTCTGTGAGAGATATAGGGTAGTCCCATATACATCTTTTTGTGTATAGTGCTTGTAACTTTACGAAGAATGGGCCAAATTTCTTATCATTTTGATGATTCCAGAACCTTGCAGATGCTAGATGCTAGATGATCAACATTTTCTGATCGATTTCACAACGTTTCTTTCACAATGCAATCGCATGACATAACTGGTCTTTACCTTTTATAAATGTACCCTATTACGTTATTAAAAAAGCACCACCATCACCAACTACATCGGCAACAACGCCAACAACATTTTTATAAGAATATGTATTTTTATGTAGCCTCTCTCTCTATTTCCCCCTTCCCTCTCTCTCTCTTTCTCTCTCCCTCTCTCTCTTTCTCTCCATATCTTTCTCTCTCTCACTCGCTTGCTCCCTCTCCCATCTCTTTCTATTCCTTTTATTATACTCCCCCCCCCCCCCTCCAAAAGAATAAACTGTAGGGAACAGTTTGTAAAGGTTTATTTAATGCTGCTTTGATTGTGATCTTGGACCACTTTTGACGATGTCAAGGGGACAAAGGAACATCTTTCCTCCCATCAAAAACACCTATTCATAGCAATCAAAGCATTCAAAACAAACGTATAAATAATACTGTCAGAGAGAGAGAGAGAGAGAGAGACACCGTGTTGTGTGTGCGTTCAAAGTCTGTTTGATAACGTTCAATAACTGACTATAATGTAATAGTCATGGTTTATCGAAATAATGTGTTTTGTAAAGTCAGTAATTCAAAACGCAACCATTCAACGGAGTACATGTTTGTTTGCTTAGATAGAAATACAAACGTCTGTTATGGGATATTTTTTTTTATTAATTTGTGTCAATACCTATCTTTCGTGCTTAATGTTGTAAGATAATACAACTATGATTATGCGGGTACTATCATGATTTAAATAATGTATGGCCTGCATGGATACATCGGTTAATCACCTCCTCGTGTTCATTAATTGTAGAACATTAAAGGTAAAGAACAGTTTTGGAAATGCCCCCCTCTCAAAAAATGAAATGGAAGCTCGTATAATTTAACCAATCATGTGAAAGAATATATTTTGACTAATACGTGATGATACAAATTTTGCCGGTTAAACGCCTACTAATTGATATATTTGGTAAATTATCTTATCTATCCGGACTGGATAGATTTCGTGTAGTCCCATATACATCTTTCTGTGTACAGTGCTTGTAACTTTACCAAGACTGGGCCAAATTTCTTATCATTTTAATGATTTCAGAACCTTGCAGTACACACCAATATGCTAGATGATCAACCTTCCTCATTCTCTCCTCTCTCTCTCTCTCTCTCTCTCTCTCTCTCTCTCTCACACACACACTTGCTCCCTCTCCCATCTCTTTCTATTCCTTTTATTATACCCCCCTCCAAATAAATAAAATATAGGGAACAGTTTGTAAAGGTTTATTTAATGCTGCTTTGATTGTGATCTTTGACCACTTTTGTCTATGTCAAGGCGACATAGGAACATCTTTCCTCCCATCAAAAACACCTATTCAAAGCAATCAAAGCATTAAAAACAGATGTATAATACTGTCAAAAAGTGAGACATCATGTTGTGTGTGCGCTCAAAGTCTGTTTGATGACGTTCAATAACTGACTATAATGTAATAGTCATTTTCTTACCAAAATAATGTGGTTTTTGTAATGTAAGTTATTCAAAAGCATAGCTATTCAACAGTGAAAATGTTAGCTTAGATAAAAATACAAACGTCTGTTATGAAATATTTTTAATTAATTTTGTGTTGTTGACAAAGAGTGGAACCACAAGCCGCCGACATCTAGGCGACACAAACTCAATACTTATCTTTCGTGCTAATGTTGTATTGTAATACAATTATGATCGTATGTGGGTACTATCGCGATTGAAATACTCCATGGCCTGCATGTAATGGATACATCGCTAAATTACTTCCTCATGTTCATTAATTGTAGAACATTAAAGGTATATACCAGTTTTGGAAATGCCCCCCGCCCTCTAAAAAATGAAATGGAAGCTCTTATAACCAATCATGTGAAAGAATATGTTTTGACTAACACGTGATGATACAAATTTTGCCGGTAAACCGCCTACTAATTGATATATTTGGTAAATCATTATATCTATCCGGACTGGATAGATATCGCGTAGTCCTATATACATCTTTCTGTGTACAGTGCTTGTAACTTTACGAAGACTGGGCCAAATTTCGTATCTTTTTAAGGATTCCAGAACCTTGTAGTACACACCAATACGTATATGCTAGATAATCAACCTTTTCTGATCGATTCCACAACGTTTCTTTCACAGTGCAATCGCATGACCAGAACTGGTTTATACCTTTAAGAAATAGTTATCAAAAATGTGTGCAAGGGTGCTCTAATTTTGGAACTGCCTCTTCTATTTTACTAAACATGTTTTTATTCATTTTCCTTTCTTTTCATAACGTGCTATTATCTATAAAATGCATGCTGTAAGCAGCGAAATTCGTAGCCTGGCTACCATTGCCATGGCAGTTACATGTACATCACGTACAGGAACGCCTTAAGGCGCCATGCCGAGTGGCGAATAGGTACCGTACAAAATGACAATGCAAGTTTGGTACACAATTATCTAATATTCAGCACAACAATCTTAAAGGGATCGTTTAACAATGTTAAATCTGAGATGAACGGCCCTACGTCTTATCAGTGCCTGTGATATGATGTTTTATTGAAGCCCTAACAAAAATTGCGCTTCAAAATGATCAAGAATTGCCTCAAAAAGTAAAAACCTTTGAGTGACCGGTTTTACCATACTCGATTTCCCCAATAGACTGTAGTGTTATGAAAACCGTTTAGCAAACGCAAAATTTAATTTCGATTTTCAATCATAAATATCTTGATAATCAGACAGGCCATTGGCTTGTAGAAGTCATGTGGTTCCTGACTGACCTAAAGGTTTATAATTATCATTGCTCAAGCATTTTTTTAAAGGATCTAAGACAAAGTTACCGAATCATTTTAATGTACATTTTCAGTATGATATTGAAATATGAGACCACTATTTCGGGAAGGGTCACAATAATTTATTTGTTAATTGCCTCTCATCATTTTATATTTTTTTTGAGAATGATAATTTATATTTTTTCAGAATGATCATTCATAACTTGTTATGAGAATGATAGCAATAAACATTGTTCATCCTGTTTTTTTTTTTTTTTTAAATAAACAGCGTCTCTTCCCTGATAAACAATCTGGCGGGATCATAAGTTAACACTGGGAGGGGAACAAACAAGCTTTATCTTGGCATCAGACCTTTCCTTGTAAATAAACAATTAATCTTATGTTATGTCAACATTTACTATGAGGCGAGTTACAATATCATTGTACTGGTTTTTGTATTAACTGAATAATTATTGTTGTCTTGTAATCCATACTTTGCCTCATGCTGTTTCCTTCCGTTTCCAATATTGTTTCCTTCTCTTTCATTCTCTTTCTCTGCATACCCTTCTCTTTCTCTCTCTTTCTCTTCTCTTTTTTCCTCTTCCTCTTTCCCTGCCTATCCATCTCGTTCTATCTTTCATTCCGTCATTGATATATATTTCTCTCTGCCTTTGCCTCCTTCTGTTTCAAATAATGATTTGTTTTTTTACAAAAAATCTACCAGCAGGGCCTTTGGCTTTTTAAAAGGTCCCTCTACTTGCAAACTTTCCATTACGTTGTACATGATATTTTAAAGACTTGAACATGTATGTAGCCTTGTCAATATGCCTATGTTACGACCATATAGTTAACAACTTAACTATTAATCTCGTTTCCAAGTTTGTTCAAGTATGTATCAAATTAATTTGTCCCGATTAATGTTTCTTGAAAATGTGACATAATTAAGGATTACATTTAAATGTTTCCAACAGTTCACCTTTCATTCTTGAGTTATTGAAGAAAAAAAATATTAAAAAACACGACAAATATACAAGGGGTAAGCCTATGAAAAATGTAGTTGTTAACTAAAATGTTTTATGCACTTGTATGTTTGGTGTGAGCGGAATAAATAGTGGAATAAACTGAACTGAAAAAAACACCTCTCAAGGAAAATTGTTTTGAGAAAACTTTTTTTTCCGTTTGAACAAACAAAATAGCCCCATTTCTCACTTGATACCCTCCCCACCATGGTGCCTCAACGAGTTTGTTGTTTTGATCTGTTTTATATTTAACACCCCCAATAAATAAATAAATGAATAGATAAATAAAATACACGTAAATGATAGATAAAAATAAGATAAATGAATAAAAGGAAAAATGACGAAGGGATTAAAAATATTCTTTAATCCTCAGGCGACACGTTGTCTTTTACGATAGGGAGTGCCTAATGTCAATATAACAATCACCTTCACTTCAATGGCAATATTTAGTGACATACAATAACAAATCATGAAACAAATTTTCGACTTACTGGCTTCGACACTAATACTGAGGTACAGCAGTATTATTGAACTAATGGCGACATACACCCTTGTCGTGATGTTCCTTTGTCTCGTAAAGACAGCTCTCGGTGACGACGCCATCATTCTGTACTGTTTATCGCTGGATCTCCGGAGGGGTGGGAGAGGGTGAGACAGCGATGCTCGTGGGCAGCAAACGAGGAAGTAGTTTCAGAAAAGAGCTGTCCTGGCTCCTATTCCGATATAACTGATTGCAGAAATACCGTTTCTCTCCTGTGATCGCGAGGCAACAGACAGCAAGAAACTAAATATATGAAGAATTAGTTGGCCCGATGATTACACCAACCAATGAAAAAAGAATCTGTAACATGCGTTCCTCTCTCCCTAAGTTTATTATACGCTCGTTGTTGACAGTGATGTGCTTTGTACCCACGAAGTTTGTATAGAGGAGATTATGGCGGTTTATGACAACTCTATGAGCTATTCTTCAGTTTCTGGAAATGGTGAAAGCTTGCTTGAAAATAATAATTCCAGTCTAATTAAAAATCGAAAGCAGGAAAGAAGTCCTAACTCGCCTTAAAAAGACAGTCCTGTCAAGCACGTGAACAAACACCGACTACTCCAGATAAAGGCAATGATCACAATGTGGTGCACTCGTTTTGAAAACACACTCGCGGCGTCGCACCGTGTTCAATTGATAGATTTGTCTGGAGAGTATATAATCGTGTGTCTTCTTCATAACCATAATAATTAACAATCTGGCTGAAAGATATGTTTGACAAATTGAAACTAGTTGGTAGCAGGCTTTTCTTCCGACACTCAAACAGATTGAGACATAATTCGAGGAACCTGGACAAACCACAGCGAGTACGAGGTGATTTTCGCGGTTGTGTCTGCGGTCTCATAACAGCCGATAATAACCATTATCTTCAAGTACCTGTAGTTTTATGTGGTAATACCCGGGGGTAAATATTATCCAATGACACGCGCCGTGGCGCGAACTGTATGGCGTCGGCATGTTACGGGGGAATCCCCATCACCCCATCTTGCAAAGGCTGCATGGGATTGGTCGGTTGTTACAGCATGACGTAGCCGTATAGGCTGACAAATATGGGCATACGTTACATCCTTGGACTTGTGCAGTGGAAAAACTATCCCATAGATTGTAATTTCTATGTCAATACCTCAAAATGATAATAATTATGATACAATACATGATTGAATCCCTCTCTCTCTATTTTCTCTTTGTTACTCTCTCTCTCTCTCTCTCTCTCTCTCTCTCTTTTATTTTCTCTCTCTTAGATCATCGTCTTCCTCTCTCTCTCTCTCTATCTTTGTCTTTCGTTATTGCTCACTGTCTCTGTCTCTCTCTTTCTCTCTCTCTCTCTTTCTCTCTCTCTCTCTCTCTTTCTCTCTCTCTCTCTCTTTCTCTCTCTCTCTCTCTCTCTCTCTCTCTCTCTCTCTCTCTTTGTCTATGTCTCTCCGGCTTGGGATGAGTTTCTGGCGGGGGGGGGGGGGGGGGGGGGGGGGTGCAGGATCGAGGTATTGTGTACTAACGTTATGTTGAAAATCGTGGGGCCTTTTAACTAAGTATATTTGTGCATTGTGTCGATGTCATGTTATTTTTTTTCCAATTTATCACCGATTTTGAATGTAATTATTTCCTATTTCAATGTCATGCTTTTGATGTCTTTGTATTCATGATTTTAATGTGAACGCAATATATAAAATCCCACAATAAATTTTCATGTCATTAATGGACGAAATAAAATTGAAGTGAATTGAATTGAATTGAATTAAATGAATACATGAATGAATGCATGAATAAATAATTAAGTAAATAATTGAGTGAATAAATAAATAAATAGATAAATAAATGAATGAATGAATGAATGAATGAATGAATCAATCAATTAATTAATTAATTAATTAATTAAAACAATAAATCAAAAAGACAAGTGCACAAACTAGGGCCAAAATAGCGATAATTTGTCAGTGTATTTCTTGAGTTCAACCCACCATGTCAAAACTTCTATCGGCATTATAATCATGATTATTACGGAAATAATCCGATTTTCCAATCATGCTTGACAGCTATTCTAAAACCGAAATTAAAAATGAGCATAAATGTTCGAAGGGCCTCCACTTGAATTTATTGCTTCCGTTTTCCTGAAGTTTCAAAAAGTATACGTTGACGCCCCTTTTTTCTTTATCATTTCTTTCAGTTCAAACTTATAGTGAAACCATTACTTTCAGAGCCGAGTGGCGCTATTGTGACGTCATACGCGTGGGAAGGAAAATGAGAGAAAACAGATGGAAATACAGAAAGTGATCTCATTACAATGTGACGAAAATAGAACAAATAATAGCTCAGTCGGTAGAGCAGTGGTCTCGTAATCCGGTGACCCGGGTTCGAAACCAAGGCAATGCGCTAGTGCCCTTTGGTAAGGTATTAATCCTCATTACAAGGTCCCTCAGAGAGGACCTAAAGCCGTCGGTCGTCTGGTTGCTTACTTACAATCAGTATGCTTTCTTAGCAGTCAGGTAAAATAAGCATCACCATTCATTCACACTGTGAAGCTGTGAATATCAGAACACTCTCCAATTCGCTGTGTTTGAGTAAAAGAAAAAATCTATTCGGAGAGAGTTTTTGATTCAGTCCCCCTCGCCCTAAACCTACATTTGGTTTACGACAAGACAAAATATCACAAAACTATGTGTTGTCAAGATGGTACTAAAGAGTGTCATGTAATTAAACAACAAATTGACCAATGAAAATGTGAATAATTTTTATCACGATTTTGATAATGGCCTGGTAACCACTTTCGAGCGATTTCACAATAATGAAGTCATGCCTTTATTTCCCTCTTCACCGTTTCTTTTTTGTTTGTTTCCACTCGTCTCTAGATCCCGTACAATTTATTTTAAAGAGTGTTTATTTTGCAACGTTATGACTTATATTATTTTGATGTAGATTAATTACGTCATGGTTTCGGTTAATTCACTTTAGTAATAAGTTTGAGTTAAAAGTTAGTCGATTCATCACTGCGCTCATTTTAAAATTTGTTTTTAGCTTCCTGTGTATTAAAGCATGATTATTATTAGTATTTCTCCACAAAAAAAATGCCACCCCAGTAGGGGGTCTAAATGTTTTTTAAGTTTGACTACAGTCCATAGATATATATCGTCTATTTTTTATGTACAAGTGTTTTGTGTTTTTTTGCACCGAATTGGGCCCGACAAAAATATATTATTAACATTACTCGATCAACAAATGGAACAATAAAAATGAAAAATGGGGTTACTAGCCACAACTTCAAAACTAAATCAGGATCTGGTCGCTTGGTTTTCACACATGGTCCGTGCCGGTTCGAGTCCCATCGCGACACCGCTGTTCTTTGGCAACTGATATTAATTTACGTTTGCCACTCTCCACCCAGGTGTTATAAATTGATACCCGTTTGGATGCGAATATTAATTACACCTGCATGTATATTTTTCAGTCTATGGATCTCATGTTAACAATTGCAATATAACAATTTCCTCTCTCTCTCTCTCTCTCTCTCTCCCCCCCTCTCTCTCTCTATATATATTTTGTTTTTGTTTTTAAATAATTGTTTAATTTAAAGATTATTTGTACTTGCAATAACTGGTTCAACATTTATTATCATCCATCTTTTATCATTTATTTATATATGTATACAACTTTAGGTATGAACAATAATTTTAACTTTATCTTTTATCATTTTTATTATACATTTATATGATCATTCCTGTTTTTATGCACATTCTATGTAAACATTGCATTATTGGTCCCTGGACTACTGCATTGTACATTGTATATGTTGATATTAATAAACCGAAATTGAATTGAATTGAATTGAATTGAATTGGTTGGATTGAATACTCCCCAGGGAGCGAAGCGTGCATACTCTCATAATTATGCGGGTTAGCAATTTGATCCAAAGACAGGGGTAATAATGATTGCCATGTACAGTGCTGAGAAACGCTACACAAATTCAATTTGATTGCGATTGTTATTCACAGAAGAAATCGTCTCGATTTCAGCAGTAGATGGGGTACTTTCATTTCAATTCAAGCGCGAGTTGTACTATTTTCGATTTTCTTAATTTATTTATCTGTCCTATATTGCAATCTTCCGACAACAATGGGCGTTGCTAGAACATCTTCATGCTGGAAAAATTATTTATTACCCCCTCAATAATTTGACCCTTTTAAAGGTCATAACAATTTCATAAGCATCAAAAGTCTACAAGACTAAGAGGTTTGTTATCTCACTCTTACCCCCTCTCCTCCGTCTCTTCCTCCTCCTGCTTTCCCCCCTTTCTCTATATCTCTCTCTTCCCATCTCCCCTCTCTCTCTCTCTCTTCATCCTTCTCCCAACTCTCTGTCTCTCCCTTTCTCTTCTCTCCCCATACGATTTTGTTACACGTGACTATCTACTTGGGCAAACTCCTTTGGAATACAAAGTGAAATGAACTGTACCTGATCGAGTTATTTTTGAAAGTATCGATCGGTCTTGATTGACTTTTATTGAAACTATTATATCTGCACCTGTAGCATTCCAATGGTACATAGTGATATACTTGTGGCAAGCTGTATAAACATAAAATCTAGATTAAAAACATAGGCATGTAACATGCAAAGAAATTAAACAAATTACAAACAGAAAACATAAAATACTGACTGTTTTTATACATGAAGTTATAAACCTACAATCCACGCACTTCATCGATCTTACAAGTCGATTGATTTAAGATTGCATTATGTTTTTCTTTTAAAAAGAGATCGATAACATATGTGATGAAAGTAAGCTACATGAGAAATAAACATTACCACTTTTCATGTGTCTGGTTCACAAAGGAATGGAGGGGGGGGGGGGGGGGGTGGGGTAGTATTAGTATTACCTCACAGATAAATCATATTTGCATGTACATAGTGCTTTTAAGAGAAGATAAAGTAGACAAGACTTGTCAAGTTCACTACCCTACCGAATCGTAACTAAACCAAGTGCAGTGCACTAATCACTTATGCATGAGCTTTAAAACATGACTTATTTGTTTAATAAAACAGGTCTAAAATATGAGTATAAAGTTAAGAAATGCCGGTAAGCAAAATTTCTGATCAAAATTCAGAGTTTGGGGGCCGCCATTTAATTTGAATGATATCTTAGTAAATAAGCACAAGCCGACAGTGTTATGTACATCTCAGTGTGTGTATCAATGTCATTGATATTTGAAACGATGTACATTTCATTGCGTCTTTAATTTTGTAGATGCCAGAGATACACATAGCCGCATCTCGGTCGTACATTATCACTTTAAGCCACGAGTTATCACTACAGTATACGATGGGAACTATTTCGCACGGTAGGCGGTGTAGGATAGAATGATGCATTGTCACATGTCGTCATTTGACCAATTAGATTCCCTACATTCTAGAACCCCAATAATATTAATTGATGATCATTTCAATCATACACTAACACAAAAGGTACCTGTGCATCATCTACTACGATACTACATATAATTGACATTCAATAAGCATATTCATTAATATGATTTCATAATCATGATTAACATGTTCCAGATCATGTTAACTTTGGATTATCTTAATCATACATGATTATGAAAAACAGTGATTAAGCTCCTTATGATGATTTCAACACCTCCATGAATATCTACAGGGGTTAGTGAAATATTGAAATATTTGTAAAGAATATTCTAAACAGCTGCAAGGTATAATATCTTTATATTCTTTCCGTAAACCAAGAAAAGGGTACATACTTCATGATTCTAAATCTAACACTTATTTTCAAATCTGAATAGATATGCCAGTAAATGCAAAGAAGACCATAGATTTATCACTGACTTATGTCTTAAGAAATAACAATATGAACTCCTTTTTCTCATTTGAAGCGTGACATTTCTAGACTTTATCTCAAATTCAATATTTCTTTGGCAAAATTGAAGTAACTAGGGACCCTTGCTCTAAGAAGCAATAAAAAGGTTTCAATTTGATGTCAACTAATGGCGTATAATGATCATGGGACTAAATTCAATTAGCATATTTCTAGTTTTTGTTAGCTCCTTTTAACCAAATTACATCAATATTATAACTATACATTAGTTTATTAAACATCAGATCTTTATGTGCCCCGACAATTTGCTGAGCCACTTCTCTAGCAAACCAGCTTTTACTCTGATTCCATTTTCTAAGTTCCAAATCAACAATTTATGAAATGATCACTTATCAATTACCATGAGAGATTTACAGTTCAATATTGACCTGTATGGCATCTTATAACATGCAAGTAATGTTTGGAAAACCTCCTTCACTTTCCGAAGCAGGATCACGTTGACCTTTGACCTAACCTGGAGGCCATTTCATCTGTCGTCCTCCGATCACGTGAACGTGTAGATGATAGACGGATTGACAGCCGTGCTGTCCGTTATTGATGACTACAAAAGAACAAAGAAATTTTACGTATTTTAGATGTATGATGCACAAAATGAAATTGAAGGAATCCAAGTATTTTAGCAAGACAAAAAATTCCCTTATTTTTACCTGACTTTTCCCCAGATAGAATATCAAAAATATTATTTCAAAATATATCCAGTTTGAAAACAAATTCAATGTCTGAAAACGCTGTTTGACAAGAGAAAATCCAGACGAGACTGCTCTCTTTTGGGGGGTTAATGGAATTGTTATTTTTCCCCGATTGAGCGATTTTTCTCAATATTTATCACTTTCATTGACTTTCCTGAAATAAGAAAAAAGGGGGACTAATATCCTAGGTTTTCTCTGATTTCCCGATAGTTGGGCACCCAGAATCCCCCCCCCCCCCAAGATTTACTTGTTGTGTCCTTATAACCAGAATAATTAAAGATAAGCTCTATCTTACCAACTCGGTATCCATCCTCCAATGGTTCCTTGTCCGCTAGCTTTCTGGCTACCGTCATCAGATGGCCAAGCAACTTTGTAACAGAAAAGAAAGAAAAATAATCATATTTCTCTCTTGGGTAGCACATATCACATTAGAGAATCCCTATGAGCCTTCGATGAGCTTCAGGAATTATTACCCTGGTATTACCTCCAGCAGCCGTTATCAGTAGATTTTTTTTGGTATTATTTTCATTCAAGGAATAAACCTACCAAGTGAGGTCCCCACGTACCTCACTTGGTAAGAGTGTGGCAACTATATTGTGGAATGTAATGCTGGTGCCTTTTATGAATTGCTCATCTTTCACAAGCACGCATATCCAGGGACCTGTCCTTTAAAGCTTATCAACACTAGTGTGGCTAGGAGGGATTAGACCACACAGCGAGATCACTGACAGGTGGTTATCTCATCAACTCAGCTCTCAAATAACATAAGAAAAAGAGGATCATGGGGGACCAACAGGCACTGATTGGGGAAGTTTTCTATATAGAGGGAGCAAGTAGCTACAAGTAGGACAGTGGGGCTTTAAAAAGCTGTGATTAATTGCAACTATGTAGTATGTATATAAGAGATAGGAAAATGCAAACTTGCGATCGATTCCGATCAATCACAACTCTTTAAAAGACAGGACCGAGGTCTTTGCCTTGCCCCAGAGGGTTTAACAATTTTATACCCATGAAATCTCATTTATTTATGCACATTAATGAATTGCAGTCTCCTCTCTCTTATGTACATATTTGCTATTGATATCAATCACAAATAAGGTGCGATTGATACCAACTCTATGTAAGATGGGGCCCAGATTTACGATACAATTTTTCTTCACAGAACAATATTTTAAGGTCTTACCGGCGTGTCTTCATCCCCTGCCTCACTGATGCATGGGATCTCTTTGCGGGGGATCACTAGGAAATGGGTTGGGGCAACAGCGTTGACATCTCGGAAAGCTATACACTGGAAGCATATATGGATGAGACAGAGAAAGAGAGACAGAGAGAGAGAAAAGGGAGGGAGGGAGGGAGAGAGAGAGAGAGAAGGGGAAGAGGAGGGGGAAGGGAGAGAGGGAAAAAAAGGGAGGGAAAAAAAGAAAGAGAGAAAGAGAGAAAGAGAGAGAGAGAGAGAGAGAGAGAGAAAAAAAAAGGGGGGGGGGGAGGGAGAGAGTGAAAAAAAAAATTGAATTAAATTTGGATTTCACTTTTTCTTTCTTGCATTTAAACATTAACATGTAAATGAACAAAATAACATAGAACATGTTATCTGATATTACTAGAAAGTAACTTGGGGGTTTGGGGCATAAGGATTAATGCCTTTAAATCATGTACAGTGGCTGTATATATGGAAGAAAGAAACAACAAAGCTAAATTTGTGTTTTGACCCAACCAGCTCATTATTCAGCCTCTATACATTTTCTACCAACATCATTCAGCGCATGGCATTTATTTTTAATCTTGGATATTCAGTGTAAGTTTTGTTGGATTCTATGAAAATTTATTATCTCTCATTACCAGAACTCAAGCTTATCTTTATCACCTTGGTGAAGAGAAGCAATGCAGATGAAATGCCTTACCTGATCATCTTCATAGATTATATCAGCTGGTATCTCCTTGTTGATAATCTTTGTGAAGACGTTTGGTTTGTCTTTCTTGGGGTCGGCTTTCCTCGCCTCAGAGGCCAGGATGCTGGCTCGTACTTCGCCATCCTCAACGACAAAACGCGGCTGTTAAATTGGAGAAAAATTAATAATAAAAGGGAATTAATCATCTAATAATATTGGGTTCGATGACAGTACAGTCCTACTCTATCTACTCTTAAAGGGAGTATAGCTTGGCAAATACTGGTTAACGCCATCAATTTAATTCAGCATTTACTCAATTCCATAATTCCATAAAAAAAACAGCTACATCAACATGCAGTAAATAGTACTACTTATACATAATTATTATCTTCGATTGCAGTTAACAAAATAGTAAAATATTGACTGTAAAAAATAGGAAATTGGTTGCTGTTGCAGCCACCATGAAATGAGATAGATTCACATAAACAGTACAATTAATAAAAGAATCATGCAAAATGATATATGAATAAACAATAACTAAAGAACAAAAACAAAATAGAACATAAACAAAAACAAGAAAATAGACCGCACAACCTTAAACAAAATTGCCCTGGGGAGTGATATGAGTATTGTTACAATGTAAGATCATTGGAAATAAAATATATTTTAAGCTTTCTTTAAAATGAATTCAAACTATTAAAAGAAGTAATATCTGATGGTAAAGAATTCCATCTATGTCTTCTTTTGGACAACTGCACGAAACGAATGGACTTGATTAATGGTAGTCAGCAACTTAATCTGTACATGGTCGCTTTCGCGAAACAGACCGAAGTTCTCCTCACGCTTCGGTTTCATGTACATGTATGTTGCACGCACGAGATTGCTGCGGTCGCGTTGACTGCAGTCGTATTATACCCGATTGGCCCTGGAGTCAGGCCACTGGAAAGACACGTAGTCTCATCAAGCTACACTCCCTTTATAATTAAGTTTAGCTCTTAATTTCAGACTCTGAGATTGTTTTGAAGTCAGGCTACACTCCCTTTAAAAGCATCTAATCATGATAGACAGTTTCTTAATTCAGGGTGAAGAAGGAGGAGGGAGGGAGGAAGGAGGAGGAAGGGAGGAGGCAGTAGGAGGAGGAGGAGGAGGAGGAAGAGGAAGAGGATGAAGAGGAGGAAGAGGAGGGAGGGAGGGAGGAGGAGGAGGGAGGAGGAGGAGGGAGGAGGAGGAGGGAGGAGGAGGAGGAGGAGAGGGAGGAGGAGGGAGGGAAGGAGGGAGGGAGGGAGGGAGGGAGGGAGGGAGGGAGGGAGGGAGGGAGGGAGGGAGGAAGGAAGAGGAGGAGGAGTAGCCGGAGGCGGAGCTGAGAAGAAGAACCGAAGAAGTTTGAAGAAAAAAGAAAAGGGAGAAGAAAAAGAATGAGAAGAAATATAATGAGGAGGAGGAGAAGAATGAGGAGGAGAATGAGGAAAAGATGAAGAACGGCAAATGTCAAAATAGTCGTTCAACACAAAAAGGCACTAGAGGCTAGTCTACCCCGGCGCCACCCCCCCCCCCCCCTATCTATTCTAGATACGTTTCAAAGATTTACTTCGTTCCCATATATTCATATCTGTGTTAGTTCACCAAAATTGAACACCACTTAGGCCTATAGTTTTTACATTTCTTTGATAGTGCATGGCATGGCATTAGGCTAATCGGTTCTAATGATATAATAGCATATCATAATTACCTGGCTATATGCTAGACATCTTTGAATAGATTTTCTAGGCGTATTTAGCACCTGTTGAGTCCTAAAAGTTGCCCATACAAGTCGCCCTCCTTTCACGAAATGAGCCATTTTGGATGTGTACGAATCGAGCTGCACGTACACAACCACTGGCTGTGTATGGCAAGCCAAAAGGTAATATATTCACCTCTTGTATTCATATTCTTTATATTCATCTCTGAATAAATATATTCATCTTTCAACATGTTATATATTCATCTACTCATTATATTTGTGATTCTAATATATTCTCCTTTTCAATATGTTCGTTTTTTAATATATTCATTATTGTATAAGTTCATCCTATCACTAATTTTAGTATTGTTTTGTATTTATTAATCTTTTCAATATATTTATCAATTCAATATATTCATCTTTTAAATATATTTATCTATTCAATATATTCATCTTTTCAATATTTTTGTCCTTTATAGACATAGATCAGTGCTACAAAAAGTGCCATTTTGCATGTTACAGGTATTCCGTGATTATATTGGTTGGTTTAATAGTTCCAACCACATAGTCTATATACATTTCTGTATATTTTCCATTTCAATTAACTCCAGTAGCGATACCAAACCAATGAACATGTACAGGACAGAGGCCTAGAGTGTAATAAATCCCATGTATGCCCAAGCTTCCTACTATACCTACTAAATATTTATAACTCTTCGGACTGCATTACCGGCAAAGTAAAAGTGAAGTGTGAAAAAAGGATATTGCTATATAGTTTTACTATAGTTTTGCTGACAAAACTTCAAAACCTGTGAGAGGTTAGTCTCTTCCGTCTAGACGCGTACGCAGGGGGGGGGGGGGGGGTGTTTGGGCGTTAACCCCCCTGGATTTTTTTTTTGGGAAAAACATTCCTTGCCCCCTAACCCCCCCCCCCGGGCGAAATTCCGGTCGGCGCAATTTCCAAATTTTAAAACACCCTCCTTGAAAAAATCCTGCGTACGCCATTGCTTCCGTCACCTTCGCCCCTCTCACTCACCATGCTCTCTCGTCCCTCACACCCCTCCGCCCCCGCCCCCCGTCATGAAAGAAATCGCCGCCCCTGCTCATTACCCCGTCTCTCAGCTGAATACCCTCCTCAAAGCAACCATGTCTAACTTATCAGCTTCGAGACGGCCCTACAATACATACACCCCCCCCTTCCGCTCACCCTCCCAACCCATCCTAGCCCCCCCCCCCGCCCCCCCCCGCCCCCCCCCCGCCCCCCCCCCCCCCCCCCCCCGTACCGTACGTCGCGCCTGCGCTGCGCGATCAGATTATGCAATCATAACACGCGCATCTTTGGAGAGTTACAATTCTAGTTCGGGAGATTGACACTCAGCTCACCTTTTGAATGTCTACAACTCAGCGGTGACAATTAAATGATTACGGCTGACTGATATAGATGATCACCAAAGGCAAAGTCCTGTAGGTAAGCAAGATTCTTCCTGTACCTTTCCATTAAAAGTGATTTGTTTGCACTAAAACACTTTACAGTAAACCAGGCAAATATCTTTCAAGTTCCATGACCGCGAATGTTGCCGCTTCCATGCCTGCGCGGCCGGACCGATTGGACTGCATCAAGACCCTCAGCTCACGGGGAAAGGGCTTTGCTCTGCTAGCTGCCTCTAGCTCTAAATAAACTACATAGCTGGCTGAGCTGACTACTAATACCTGACGACAGCAAATATTAATTGTATAGACGTGTCTAGGCTGAAACGTCATTTTTGAAAACTAAATTACCAAGCCTTGATTTGTTTATGTTTGCCTCTCTATTTTCTGCAGTGAAATTTGACTTCTTGCCTGTTCTTTAGAATTAGATTAGGTCACTCATCTTGAAAAATCTCTCAATCTTTAACCCGGCCCCCCCACCCTTGAGGCTTGGGTCTTTGATTCCTAGTACTAGTAGTAGCTCACACTTGTTGTTGCATTTGAATGAGGAATGCTTCCATTCTTGTATATCTCTAGACTCTAGCTCTTAATTTTCTTCCCTCCAAATTTACCTTTCAAGAAGGCTTGATGCATGCTTGAGCTGGACTTACTCAATTCAATTGCTAGTCCTTAAGGTTATTTAACTAACTAATAATTTTAAAAGTCTATCATCAAATATGTTTGCCTCTAAACTAAAGTGTATTGATTTTTAAGAATATTTTAGACAAGGATTCTGGCACATAATGCTAACATAAATTGTAGTCTTTAGAGTTCAGACTCGTCACTTTTCAGCTTCATGAATGAGTAACTAGTACTTTGTAAATCTATATGAATCTTCTTGTACTATAATAGCATTTTCAAGGATTGTTCATAGATTCCAGGATCATTTTCTTGATTTTTTGTTGTGCAGAAAACTTCAGCTTTTGCCTGTGTGAGTGTGCTTTACTATTCACTTGCCTTTGCATAATTCCTTTTTCTTTATGCCTGTCTTCATCAGCTCGAGATTGCCAAATTTCCAGCTATTTCAACTATGCTGATCACAAATTATCCAGTTAGTTTGCGTCTTCATCAGCCCGAAGTTGCAATTAGCTGGATATTTGATCGGGATAATCATCCCAAGATATCTTGGGATAGTTTGCAAAATATCCCACTACTTGGCAAAATATTCTGCTATTTGTCCGGTGCATCATCACCAGCCCGAAGACTCGCACTATGGGCGAACGCTGAGCAAAATATCTCGGGCTATAGCCGCTAATTCCTTGAGGTCAAGTTTCGAGGTCGTATCTCGAGTCGACGAGGACGCGATTTGCAACTTCAGGATTATTTCCCAAATAATAAATAGCAGGCTATTTGGCAATCTCGAGCTGATGAGGACAGGCCTTTTGTGGCTGGAATACAAAGAGGGCCTTATTGAAATGTCTCAGGGGATCAAAAGCTCAGCTTACACTGTGAGCTAATTTTGTCAAGGGACAGACATTGTAATCCTATTAATTCAATCCCTTTCAGTCATTGGGTTACTGTTTGTATACAACTGTTTTGAACAAGCTCTTACCGGTACGTTATACATCAATCGTTATCAGGCCCCAAAGTATTTTTCTCTGTAGAGTGAAAAATGAATAGTGAGCGGTTTTGGAATGCCTAGAGATGGAATGCCACTCTCCCATTTTTATGAAGTAATTCCTCTTAATTTTTGTTTTGTACGTTTTTCTTATTCAACTAATAATTAGTGTTTGTTTTTTGAAATATCTGGACAAGTCACAACTAATTGTTTGTCCAAGTATTTCAAAAAATAGGAGGAGGGGCTTCCAATTTCCATGTAATATTATTTCATAATTTTTCTTCGTCAATACATGACAATTTTGTAAAACTTTAATTTCTTGTACATGCACTTTAGATGCTCAAAACAAAAGGAAATGGTATCCAATGATTTGTTTGATCTCACTGTCTGCACTATAGATGTTTTTACAGATCTATATTTTATTTTGTTTTTTTTAATTTCCTGATTATTTTTTCATTTCAAAATAAAAGCATTGAATAAAAAAAAATGAGGCAGGCTGAAAAAAGAGAGAAACTATGAGGGAGCAAGAAAATAGTTGATAGAAAATTAATTGTAAGCTCAAAGCTGTGTATTTTACATGTATAGAGAGAAGTACAAACAACTTCCGAACAAGAATATTGAACCTTGACAGGGGGTCGAAGTGGTTGAATGCAAGCCGTTTGTGACTGATTTCTTTTATTCCCGAAATGCCAAATCGCCCATGGCTCCATAGCTATTAAAGGTGATCATAGGAATTGTTCCGTGCATGGATAATCCAATAATCAGATTGTTATTGTACATGTAAAATCAAATGGATTTGTACTAGAAGAATTGATGCCAGTATTGTAATAGCTTTATCCATTTACATTGTGCAATGAACTGAGAAGGACATCATTTTTTTTTAATAACCTTTGTGACAGAGCATCCCCAAGTTTCTGGGATTTGCATTTCAGGTTTGGTGACTCATAATGCATCTTCTTTGTATGTTATGAAATTTGAGTAGAAACTAGAAAAGTTATGAATTTCTCTTGATCTAAAATTAGCATTTGTTCATTCATTTATTTATTTATTTATGAACTCATTCATTCATTCAACAACTGTTGATTGAATACCCAGGCATTCTTTCTAAGAAGTTAACATTTTGATTTTTCCCTTCCTATTAGCTCCTTTAATTCAGAAAGAGATTTAGATTTTCTCCTCTTCATCCCCCCCCCCCCAGACACTCTCTTTATGGTTGATTTTTATTGTATTTATATACTTGAGTTTCCCCATACATGATTGATCTGCTTTTTACTTTCAAGCACATTTCAAGCACATTATTAATTCAAACTATATTCCAGTATTTGATAGAGAGAGAGAGAGAGAGAGAACTTAAAAGGTATAAAAAAAAAACCTAGATTCATTTGTGTTTTAAATAGCTCTTTTAATTTGAAACCCACTTCTCCCAAAAAAGAACACATCATAAATTTGAAAACTGCTAGCAAGGAGTTCCTTGGTAGGTGCTTAACGGTACTTTAAATATCCAATTAGGTTTGATTACCAATTTGAATACCATCCAGTGGTTACTAACAATAACCTACTTATGACACAAACTAAGTTAGTGTCAATAGGACACTCTCTTGTGTAAACAACCCCATTGTTTGCAACCTGTTTCCTATCTGTAAGATGTGGGCCTGTTGGCACTTGAGATTTGTTTGTTTAAAGTATACAAGTCTTGTACTTTATTGTGGCGCAGGAGTGTGGGGGAGCTCTGTGCCAAGTGTGAAACCTTATGTCATCCCCTGTTTTAATCCCCAGAGGTGGAGATTAAGCCAGATCTCATCCCTGAGATTGAGCAAGGCGCAGGTTTGGGTGTAGATTGCTTTTGTTGGATAGTTCAAAGGAAAATACATGTCCTACAGGCTTAACTGTTGCTTGGTTGATGCATGTAAGAAGGAGACACAGAGAGCAGACAGCTTTGACTTGGTTACAGGTAGAAATATGGTTAATGTTTTCATTTCTTAGGTATTTTAATCAAATATGTAGTAGAAATTGTCGGCCTTTGATCATTTGCCTTGTTTTCCAGCCTTTAGTTACAAGCAGCTGGGTGATTGTATGAGCTTGTTTTGGACAGTGAATGTAAATTAGTTCCATGCTTTGGTGTACTTGTTCATTATTGGCACATGTCATGCACCTATTCTGATGATGCTTACTATAATGTTAGAACTGTGATTATCTTAGAGCTTGAAGGAAGGAGACTTCGCGAAAGAGAAGAAGAAGAAGAAGAGGGAGAGGGAGAGGGGAAGAAGTAGTAGATGAGGAAAAGAAGAAGAAGAAGGAGGAATAGGAGGAAGAGAAGGAGGAGGAGAAGAAGAGGAAGGTAAAGAAGAAGAGGAGGAGGAGGGGAAAGAAGAAGGGGTTGAGGAAGAGAAGAAGAAGAAGGAGAAGGAGCAGGAGAAGAAGAAGAGGAAGAAGAGGGCCGGGGTTGAGGAAGAGGAGGAGGAAGAAGGAAGAGGAGGAGAAGAAGAAGAAGAAGAAGAAGAAGAAGAAGAAGAAGAAGAAGAAGAAGAAGAAGAAGAAGAAGAAGAAGAAGAAGAAGAAGAAGAAGAAAGAAGAAGAAGAAGAAGAAGAAGAAGAAGAAGAAGAAGAAGAAGAAGAAGAAGAAGAAGAAGAAGAAGAAGAAGAAGAAGAAGAAGAAGAAGAAGAAGAAGAAGAAGAAGAAGAAGAAGAAGAAGAAGAAGAAGAAGAAGAAGAAGAAGAAGAAGAAGAAGAAGAAGAAGAAGAAGAAGAAGTAGAGGAAGAAATGGAGGAGGAGGAGGCAGACGGATCAAGGATGAGAGGAGGAGAACCTACCTATATAAGACCAATTTAAGACCTTTTTAAATATGTGTCACTTTACTCTAAGTTTATAGTCTGTGCAAGTGACATTTAAAAAAAAAATCATGATACTGTGGAGGTTGAAAATATTTTGCACAACTTACATTTGTAGGCAAATGAGTTGAAATGACAAATATTTGCATTGTAAACCGGAAATTGGGCCGATAATTGCTCTGTTTATTGGCAGGTATCTCTGGTTTATAGATAGAGTGCAAACATTAACTGTTGGTAAGTCATTAGAAATGTCATTAATTAGATAAATTAAAGTCTGTACTCTTATTCTTAATTTTGATTATTTTTCTTCTTCCTTTTGTTTCACTTCAGGAAAATGGAAGAATCACCTATCGGCTACAGAGGCTTGTTCCCGTTCAGGTACAGTCATATAAAAGGCCTGTCATCATCAGCTCGAGATTGCCAAATATCCCCATATTTCTGATTTGGGAAATAATCCTGAAGTTACAAATTGCGTCTTCATCAGCTCGAGACTTGACCTTGAAACTTGAAACTCAAGCTCGGGAAATTATTGGTAGCTAGAGATATTTTGCTCAGCATTCGCGCATAGTGCGAGTCTTCAGGCTGGTGAGGACACACTGGACAAATAGCGGGATATTTTGCAAACTAGCCCAAGATATCTTGGGATGATTATCTCAACCAAATATCCCGCCAATTGCTAATTCGGGCGGATGAAGACACAAATTAACTGGATAATTTGCGATTGGGATAGTTCAAATAGCGAAATATTTGGCAATCTCGAGCTGATGAAAACAGGCCTATAGAGAATCATTTTAGTTACTTGGATGTTGTGCCATACTAGGTGTTATTTTTTAGTGTGTTATCAGTCAATTGCTTCCCACTGGCATTAATCATTCATGATTCATTTAAAAAAAAAGATAATTTGAAATGAAAGGACCCTACATGTATATGGATCTTTACTTTTCTATGCAAAAAATTTCAGTACAAAGTACATTAGCAATGTGGTAATAACTTCATGGATTGCAAAAATGTTAAAATGCCACAAGAAAGAACAAATTAAAAGTAAGAAAGAAAGAAAAAGAGAAGAAAACAAAACTTGCTCAGTGACCTATTTCCGTTGCATCTAGCCTATAAAACAGCAGATCATTTCCAGATTCCAAGCTGTGTCTAAAAAAAATTTAATGCAGGTTTTCCTGAGAAAAAAAAGTCAATCCAGATGTCTAGGAAAATGCTCCGGCCTCCTTTTTAAAGAAAAGAGTCCTCTATCCTTTTCTTTAAACTGAGCAGGGGAGTGTTTCACAAAGACCCTAAGTTGAACTTACATGCACAATATCTCTAAGTTGGACTTAACAATTATGGAAAGCCTATGGCATCTTTGCCATTACGAAATATTTTGTTAAAGTTATTTCAAAAGGCATAAAATGTTGATTCAAATCATTCATATTAAGGAAATTTTATGTTCTTGACTTGGAATTTACAAAAAGTCTAAAATACTTAAATTTTTGCTTTTGAATATATTTCATTTTTTGGCTCTCCATAGTGTTTAAGTCCAACTTAGAGAATTAAGTTTGACTTAAGATCTTTGTGAAACACTCTCCAAGACATGGAAAATGTTTTGTTTTGTTTTGTCTTGTTTATTTTCCATACACAATGTTCTGATTCCACATCTTTTCTTTCAGATGTGATGTAGACTCTGTCCAACAGTGGCTGAAAGATGTCTGATAATAAGAATACTGAAAGCTTTCCTGAAAAAAAGTTGATGCAGAGGTCTAGGAAAATGCTCTGTCCTCATTTTTAAAGAAAAGAGTCGTATTTTAAAACTGAGAACAACATGGAATATATACATGTACAGTAGGCTTGCAGGTGCACCATGTGAGAGAGAGGGAGGATTGAGGAGTTCTGAAAATGGATTATGTTTTGTTTTGTTTATTTTCCATAAACACTGTTCCGATTCCGCATCTTTTCTTTCAGATGTGATGTAGACTCTGTCTAACAGTGGTTGAAAGATATCCGATAAAAAGAATACTGAAAGATTTCTGGAAAAAAAAAGTTGATGTAGAGGTCTAGGAAAATGCTCTGGCCTCATTTTTAAAGAAAAGAGTCGTTTTTTAAAACTGAGAACAACATGGAATATATACAGTAGGCTTGCAGGTGCACCATGTGAGAGAGAGAGAGGGAGGATTGAGGAGTCCTGAAAATGGATTATGTTTTGATTTGTTTATTTTCCATTAACACTTTCTGGTTCCAAATCTTTACTTTCTCTCAGATGTGATGTAGACTCTGTCCAGCAGTGGCTGATAGATATTCGCCTGATGCCGGAGCAAGAATGTACAACTGTCATGGAAACCAAACCAATCCACAACTCACCACTAAACCTGGAAAACCTGGCTGCAACGGTCAAAGGTAAATATATAAGATGCAAGATAGTTGTATTTATTTTTGGTTTTTTGTGCTCTTAGAGACATCAAATACAAGATGGTTGAGAATAATATTAATAATAATAATGATAGTGGGTACTTGTATAGCGCTCATGTCTGTCAGACTTGACACTCCTGGTGCTCCTGATTATTACCCTGGCTTTAGCATGGCTGCCATACAGCGCTCTAGCATTTCAAGGAATTAATTCCTGCCAGGTACCCATTTACATCACCTGGGTTGAGTGTGGCAAATGTAGATCAATGTCTTGCCAAAGGACATTAGTGCTGCGGCTGGACTCGAACCGCGGACCTTGTGATCGATTATCACATCTTTTTCTTCTTATTTTCTTCCAGAAAGTGTCTACAGATTACAGAGCATTAAAGATGGCCTCTTCTCAGATCTTTCACAGATTTACATGTGAGTACACAACTTGAGAGATTAAAGACTAAAGTGCCTAAAGAAATTTTTTAAAAATACAATGGTTCATGCATAAGGCATAACAAAAAAGATGTTGTATTGTCCTTTGCGACCGATCCAAAAATCTTGAAATGTACAGTCGGCTTTAAATAAATAAATATAATGATAATACTTTATTTTAGAAAAACAATGTTTAATGAATACAAAAATATGTATTGAAGCATTCAAACTGAGAAATATCAGCCCAAAGAGGGAGAAGAAGAAAAAAAAGTGAAAAAAGATTTTGGACCGACTGACCCATGTTTTGGCGCCTAAAGGGCAATACAATGTCTTTTTTTGTTAGGCCTTAAATGGAGGTATTAATAAAGACAAGGTCTCCAAATTTAATAATAATATTTAGGATTTATAAAGCGCCTAGTCCACTTGAAAATTAAATGGTCAAGGCGCACTTGCGCACTGTACACAAAAGAACAACAAGAGTGAGATAAAACATACAAGTTAAAGAGAACAAGTAATTATATGCAAAATCGAACAGATCATTTTTAGATTACTTTTTGATCCTTTAACTGCTTTTATGAATCTTCTCGAGGAAGAGCATTTCACAATAAAGGGCATTTCTCTGACTCTGCCTAGCTTCAGTTGTGATATATCTTTTCTTATTTTCTCCTCAGAAATCATAAGGAAGGAATCAGCAGCCAGTTTCGTCCCCTGATCCTCTCGCTTAACATCAGGATTAAGGCCGGTCTGGGAGAATGTTCTAAGCTCTGTCCAGAACTGCAAAATATGGAACAGGTAAAACTGGTATTTTACTGTACGTCCAGTTGTGTGATGTTATTTTTGGTTAGAGCTTAAATAAGGGTGTATTTTCTCAGCACGGTCAAATTTTAGTTTCTTGTGTGGCCCAGCTGAACAACTATACTTTGAAAGTGCTGGGCAATTGATGTAAAAGTGCCATTTGGGCTTGCTTTAGTAGACCAATGTTTGTCTCATCTCGAGTTTGGTGCATTAATGAATTTTCATTTCTTTACGAATCTGGTTACTGATCTTTTTTTATCTCTCATAAGTTTAAAAAAAGTAAACTGGTGCAAATGATCATTGGACAGATTAACAAGATTAAATGCATACTGTAAATCTTTTTTAAGTGTCATGTTACAATTTTTTTCATTCACCTGTTACAAATTATTGTATTTCAAAAGTCAGAATGTGAATTGCATACATTAATTGTTGTTAGATAGGACAAACATTATGGCTTGACCTTTTTACCCCCCCCCCCCCCTCTTTCCCCCCTCTCCGTTCCCCTTCTCCCCTTCTCTCTCTCTATTTATATATCTATCTCCCCAACCCTGTTCTGACTATTGGAACACAATTATTTGTAACAGGTTAATGGAATAATTTGTATCAAGGCACTTCACAAAGATGTTAGCATTAAATTTGGTTAAATTGTGAAAATAGCCTATTAGGATACCAAGTTTAAAGATGATCTGATGATCCCTTCACAGAAATTTCTGTTCATACTTTTACTTTTTGAGGAGGAAAAAAAATGTGTATTCAAGATAGCAGAATCTAGCATTCCTCTGTAGAAACTAAGTTTGTTTGAGAGAATAAGAAGAAAATCAAAAGAAATGAAGACTAAAATGAATCTGATAAACAAGCATACTCAAAGTTTAACCATGGTAAACAAAATATTTTATTGGTGTAATTTTGATCTACTTGATTCCAGAAGCAACAGGAGATTATTGATGAGATGAGGAACCTGATCAGAAGTTTTGATATGTAAGTGATCATGAGGAGGAGGAGGAGGAGAGGAGGAGGAGGAGGAGGAGGAGGAGGAGGAGGAGGAGGGGGAGGGGGAGGGGGAGGGGGAGGGGGAGGGGGAGGGGGAGGGGGAGGAGGGGAAGGAGGAGGAGGAGGAGGAGGAGGAGGAGGAGGAGGAGGAGGAGGAGGAGGAGGAGGAGGAAGAAGAAGAAGAAGAAGAAGAAGAGGGGGAAGAGGAGGTGAAGGAGGAGGGGGATGAGGAGGGGGAGGAGGAGGGGGGGGGCGGAGAAAGAGGAGGGGGAAGAGGAGGGGGAGGAGGAGAAGGAGGAAGAAGAGGAGGAGGAGGGAGAGAGAGAGAGAGAGAGAGAGAGGGGGAGGGGGATGAGGAGAAGGAGGAGGAGGGGGAGGAGGGGGAGGAGGAGAAGGAGAAAGAAGAGGAGGAGGAGGATATACATGTACATATAATGATGGTGATATTGATGATAAGCTTTTTTCAACTTGGGTTGGATGGATAATGTCCCACCAAAATAATTTCAAATTCAATTCAAAGTGATTGTTCCTGTAGCAAATGTCCAATCATCTTGTATTTGTCTATCTGCAGGTGTTTAGATATAAGTGACCAATCAGTCAAGCTGTTCATACAATCTCTAACGACTGTAGCCAAAGCTATCAAGGCTTATCTTGAAATGGTCCAAGGTGCTCTCGTTCGGGTAAGGTCAGAGGTCATATACTTTTCACCTTTTTCTTGATGATTAATAATAATAATAGTAACAATTGTGATTTATATAGCGCATAGTAATCATTGATGACAATCCTCTATGCGCTTTAAATTATTACATACAAATTATAGATAATTGCAGTCTGGCATACAAATTGCAAATTAAATTACATCAAATAATACTCCACTACAACAAATAATTATAATTTTGAAAATAGATAAGTTTGGCAGCAGTCTTAAACATTGCAATTGTAAACAAATCTTTGTTAAACAGTGATAAGTTGATTGATTATTATCAAATTTTCCTGAAATAGACATCTAATATCAACAATATCTAGTTGGGTCATGAATATGATACACAAATAAACATTGGTCAAGAGATTTCTAAGGATGTGGGATTTCTAGTAGAATCTATGAGGTTGGTGGACACAACTGCAGTTATATATTTGTATTTTTGAAAGAAACATTCTTCCACAAATTTGGTTAAAAATATTGTATTGTACATTTTTCCTGTATCATGATGCTTGTAATTAGGAACTTCCATTTCCCGTCTCAATGTTCCAACCTATGCAGAAACTGGTAGATATGGTGCAAGGTGCAGCCACCGAGCTCAACGTCAAATTTGCCGTTCTCACCGTCCACAGCCTGGCACAGGACGGGGTCTGGCTGCGGAGACTACTCATACAGGAGGACACGATGAGGGCGCTATTGGCCATCTGTCGGATCACGACATTCTCGATACGCAGCATTCCGATGACGGCCCTGGAGATTGTTTCCATACTTTGTACAGAGGTAGAAGGGAGAGCTGAGCTTGAGAAGGTGAGGGTGGTCTTCTTCCATTTCTACCTCTTCCCGTCTCTTCTCCTTCGATCTCCTTCCGCCTCCTCTATCTATCTATCTATCTATCTCTTTTGCCATCTGATGAAGGTGTAGCTATGCTGCTAGGGATTTGAATCAGTCTTTATATCTTTTGAATACAGAATTCACAAAATAATTCTACAAAGAAGTAAAGACTGGTTAAAAAATCACAAAAAATCTGGGACACTTTCTGTAAATCTTTGCTGGAAAGACGACTGAATGTTAAATCATTTGGGAATCGCAGACGAAAAGCACTGTATGATATCCGTGCTCGCACAAACTAACTTTTTTACTATTTTTTTTTTTACTATTTCCTACATGTAGGTACCCGGAATCTTTAGGGAATCTCACTCATGAACTATTTACTGTATTTGTTTCTTTACGGGAATGGCTAAAATCACGACTCCAATTTTGACCAATCAGTTGACTAGATTTCTAAAGAGAGGTATATAAAGTGCTATAGGAATGAAGTTAAATCCCAATTTGATTTTCCTGCGTACATGTAGGTAGGAGGAGTGGGTGCGCTGAGTGAGATTCTTGCCTCGCCGATCACTCTGGAGGCGGTGAAGAAGGAGGCTGCGTCCGTCCTTGCGGAGATCACATCGCCGGATGCTGATATCTTTCATCGTATGCTGTGCTTCATAGAGCACATGGAGGATCTACTCAGAAACCTTACAGGTATTGCAGGGATCGTTTAACAATGTTAAATCTGAGATGCATGGCCCTACGTTTTATCAGTGTCTGTGATACGGTGTAATATTGAAGCCCTAAAAAAATTGCGCTTCATAATGATCATGAAGTGCCTCAAAAAGTAAAAAGCTTTTAGTGACCGGTTTTACCATACCCAGTACTCATTTCCCCCAATAGACTGTAGTGTTATGAAAACCGTTAGGAAAACACTAAATTTGGTTTCGATTTCCAATCATAAATATCTTGATAATCAGACAGGCGATCGGCTTGTAAAAGTCATGGGGTTCCTGACTGACCTAAAGGTTTATAAATATCATGCAGCATGAGCTAAATCCAGAATTTTGTTTCAGAATCTAAGACAAAGTTACCTGATCCCTTTAAGAGATTAGTCCGTGGGAATGGGGGGATTCAGTAAACAATGGGTAACAAGAAGCAGATTCATGTAGAATCCTATTGTAATTTTCTTTCTAATGGTTCTGTGTATTCTGCCTGTAGTCTTGTGTGACCAGACCTCAAGCCCTGGTGTGTTTCTGGTGGCGACCACTGCAATAGCAAACATCACATTCATGGACGCCATGGCCTCGGATTACTTGGCCGAGTTTCAAACTGCAGAAGTCTTGATACAAGGCTATCTGAAGGGAAAGGCACCAAGCATCTACAGCAAGCATCAGGTAAGTTTCTTAGAGTATAGTGAAGAGAGTAAGAGGAAACTAGTGAGAAAAAGAGAAAGAGAGCAGGAATGGGACAACACAGTTATGTTCCACTGTAAACCCCTCTTCCTCTCTGTCTTTTTCTATCTGTCTTGTTGCTCATTCTCTCATCGTCGTGTCCATCTGTCTGTCTCTCTATTTGATTGTAACAATATTTTTATCACAATTTAAGTCAATCTTCGTTCTTAATTATATCATAACCATCATTACCAACGTCTTTTTTTTAAAGATGAGCCAAGATCAAATAATTTTCTCTGGTGGGATGAACGTTATCACAGAACTCTTCCATTTAGGAACGCGGCTCTCAATATGGCTAACATCCCTATGCATCCATTTTACTAATCAATAGGCTTGTCTTCATCAGCTCGAGTTTTCCAAATTACTTACTATTTTAACTATCCCAATCGCAAATTATCAGCTACTCTGCGTCTTCATCAGCCGCAGTTGCAATTAGCGGGATATTTGTTTGAGAAAATATCCAGAGAAATCTTGGTCTTGTTTCCAAAATATCCTGCTATTTAGGAAATAGCGGGCTAATTTGCGCCCGTCCAAACTTGTTTGTGATGAGCATATCGGTCCGGTGAAGGAGCAATTTTGAGCTACAGGATAATATCCCGAGTCTGAAAATAGCGGGTTATTTGGAAAACTCGAGCTGATGAAGATATAGGCCTAATATATCACCTCTCTCTTTTACCCTCAGGTCATCACCATCATTGCGAACATCTCGTGTTCCAAGTCCTGTCGTGAGCAGATCGTATCCTCCGGCGGGATGAACATCCTCGCAGAACTTCTCCAAGGAGTCCCGTCCACCAGCCGGCCCACTTCCCTCTCCAGGAAGCTCAGCTTCGATGGGAACGTATCACTGGGGCAGATGGGGGAGGAGAGCGCCTACGAAGACATCTATCAGAAAGCGGCAACGGCTCTCGGGCGGCTGTGCCAGGACTACGAGACTTGCAAGATGGCGGTGGACTTGAAAGGTATGTTTCTGTCTCATCCATTGGAACTCATAAAGGATGCCTGGGCAAAATCATGGGCGGTGCAAAATATCTCCGGAACAATGTCTTGAGATTGAGACAAGATTGGCCCAAGTTTTAGTTCTTAATGTATGTTCTGCCCCTGCCTTAATATTTGTTCAGAGTAAGTTGACTGGTCTGTAGACCTTAAAGTTGGACTACCAGGCATGGCTTTAACCAAAGACTAGATGACGCAGTTGCGTAGAGGAACTGGATAGATCCCGTGTCAGGCCTATGGGAAAAAGAAAGGTCATTAATGAACAGGTTAACCCTTACTGTACTGGAGGGGGGGGGCCTGGGAGGCCCCCCCTCGACATTTTTGGAGATCGCGCCGCAACCGCCCGGAATTTTGAATTGTCATTTCATGACTTTTTCCCCTCAAGTCTTACGCACATTTTGATACCATTTTCGTTGAAATCGGATATACCTGTAAGGTGTTACATAACAATTAGTATGCGCATGTCATAAAAAAAGTGCTATAATTGCATATATTCATGTACAGCGGAAATGTGAAGATATGAATTGATATCAAATTGCTTTTATATGTTTCTCAAAGTAACTTGATGTATTTCAGAACAAAAGAATACATCAGAAATAAAACAATAGATATAATAAGAAATAAAAAACAATAAAATACATAAGAAAATAAATAGTTGAAAATCGCATCAAATTTGCATAAATTATCATTATTAATTACATCAAATAACTATTTTGTGTTAGAAAAGAAGTTTCATATGAATAAAGGGTTTCAATTAACATTAAAAAAGTGGAGTCTGACAATTTTTGTAATGATTCTAGTTCCCTATATATTTCCAGATTTGATATTCATGAATGCGTATTCATAATTTATGCAAATTAACCTATGCATTTTCAAAAATCATAAAAATAATGAAACCTCATGAATTTGAGGTGAAGGAAACATTTATTCAATACATTTTCAAGATTCTTCACAAGTCTACGGACAAATATGTAGAGTTTTCTGTAATATACATAAAATTTTTTTTTGCATAATTAGTTAGGCTATAACGACAAAAATTTGCATATTAGGAAAAAACTAATTATACCATCTTGTTCCTTACGTAAATATCTACAAACGTGCAAATTTTCGCATTCATTGGACATTCGACGGCCGAGATCATAGAGGGGGCCTCCCAGGTGGTGGATTGTATGGTGGATATGTGCACTTTACAAGGAACCATGATTGATTAAGATACTATTATCATGTTCACAATCTTCATTATTGTTTGTCACCATCATCATCATCATCATCATTACCATCAATATCCTTTAGCTAGAGCAATCTTTCTCATTGTAACTTTCAACTCCACGATTACGACTGGCAGCCACAACCAGATCATCTTCATCACCACCATCACCACCATCAATTTGTCACCACATTTACTATGACAACTATCATCACAATTACAATCAATTTTATCATCACCACACCCATCATCATTATCATCATCATCACCACCTCCACCACCACCACCACCATCATCATCTCAATTCACGCTCTGTCTATTTTCTTCTCCAGTGGTAGCTAGACTGGCTGACCTATGCAAGCATGCAAGAGAGAGGAATCATAGAAGTGATGTACTAGTAGCATGTCTGGTGAGTAACACTTTCAACCATTTCTTTTGCATGATGCAGTACTAGTAAAGTTTTCACTTTTCTCTAACTGATTTTGTAAATAAATTTAATTGCAATATCACTTTTGAATGTGAGACGTGGCTAAGGCTTGAATCCTCATGGAATTTGGGCAAAATCACCATTACTGTAACTTATATTGTAATATAAAGTAAACATTTTATACAGATGTTCCAACAAAAAACAACTTAAAATTTCATAAGCAAAATATTTGGGAAATAGTGAGGGGATGACATCATCAACTCTCTAATTTGCATACAGCCTATGGGATACATATCACTGTTTTATGAAATCATGCAAAACTCTAAAATTCTAAAAACTTTAAAATTCCATAACTTAAAGCAAATAAATTTTCCTATTTTGATGGAACTTACACCGTTTTGTGTGCTTAGTTTTTCTCTTTTTATCTAATTAAACTTGCAAATGGTTTGACTTGCCCTTTTATACAAGGACTACCCAATTCTCATAGGCAATTTGTTAAAGCCCCTCTGCACTAGTTTGGCCAGGAGGGATTAGACCTCCCTGCATGATCACTGACTGGTGGTTTTCTTATCAACTCAGCTCTCAGTTAACATAAGGAAAAGAGGATCATGGGGGACCAATGGTCACCTATTACGCATTGTTTGTTATATAGATTGAGGGCGCAAGTAGCCACAAGTAGTGCAGAGGGCCTTTAAGCTTTAAGATTCCAAAACTTAAAAAAAGAAGCTTTTGTCCTATTTTGAAACTTACACTGTTTTGCTTGATTCTTCTCTTATTATTCAATTTAACTTGCAAATGGTTCGGACTTGCCCTTTAATACAAGGACCACGCAGTTCTCATAGGCAATGGGTTAAAGACCCTTTGCACTAGTTTGGCCAGGACTCTGGAGGGATTAGACCTTGATCCCTGCATGGTCACTGGCAGGTGGTTATATTATCAAATCAGCTCTCAATTAGCATAAGAAAAAAGGCATCATGGGAGATCAACGGGTACCGCTTAGGCATTGTTGGCTGTATAGAGGACGGAGTAGCTATATGTAGTGCAATGGGGCTTTAAATATGCCATTTTCCTCCTGTGTTACAGGCTGCCCTAAGGAGAATCCACAGCCACATAGGGTCGTCTCCTTTGAAAGAGAACGATGTAGAGCAGCTGATCCAGCCTCGTCTTATGGAATCCTTCCTCCACTGCTCCACCACGGTCAGGAGAGAGACATTTGTGTGACCTTTGACCGTTGATCAGCCTCCTAAGTCATCCTACATTACGCTAGCCTGTATGTCATTTAGAATTACCTTTCATCGTTGACCATTGGTTCCCACCTTAATCTTTGGAATCCTTCCTACACTGCTCCAGCACTTGTATGACCTTTCACCTTTGGAAGAGAAATATTTGTATGATTTTGACTCTGTGATTCAGCTCACCTTATGGAATCCTACCTCGAACTCCATTGCTATATAGGCCTTTGTGTGTGTGTGTGTGTGTGAGAGGGAGAGAGAGAGAGAGAGAGATAGAAATGTATGACCCTTGACCTTTGACAAAGTCTTCCATTTTCCGACCTTCACAGCTCTTGTCCTGTCAGACAGCACAAACTCAAGTGACCTTTGACTTTTGACCCATCGTTGTAGAAGACAACATGATGATTAGAGACAAATTTAAGTTATGCATCAAACGAAATCTCCTTCAACTCAAACTTGCCACATTTTGTTTTTTTGTAACCTTTGAATCAGGAGGAAAAAAAATGAGAAGCTGGAAATGTAAGTGGAAGAAAGAGTGTGAATTACAACTGCAACTATACCAAACAAATCAGGTTATAATTGAATTGATGAAGCAAGCTACACATGTATACTGTATGTACATTTTCAGTAGCAAAAGTGCAATCAGATTCATTTACATGGAACTGTTACTTTACCTAAATCAACTCTGTTTTTTGGGGGTATGAAATCAGAATTATCAATTTATCATGGAATGTTACCTTGTTTTTAGGGGCAAATCTTTAAAAAAAGTTAAACAATCATGGTTATGAAAATGAAAATTTGAAAAAGAAAATATGTTTGTATTTTTGTATATCATCATTCAAATTAAGTATTTCTATTTTAATACACCTTGGAAAAACAATGTACCAAAGAAATAACAGAAAACATGTATTTATTTTGAAAAAGTTGATCAAATAATAGTTCCAAAATATTTTGTTGGTGTCATCAATGTGCATTTAGAATTTAGGGAATGAGTGTAGAAGCATGAGGCCTTATTCAATCAACTCATATTTCATGTTTTCTATCAATAATCATGAACGTCTTGAAAAATATAATTTAGCCATATAATGACCCTCTATTGATTCAGTATTACGTACAGTACTCCTTTATGAAAATGAGGACGTCCACTTTATATTTTCTCTGTACATATTTTTTGTACAAGTAAGTCCATGTATACATTAATTGAAAATTCTGACTTAAAATTGGTATTGTGTAAAATCATGTAGTCAATTTGAACCTGTCTTAGTGGCTACCTCTCCATAAAGACCACCTGTCTGTAGTGGTCATGCATTTTGTCTCCCTGTAGATAGAAGTGTGTAAAGACGAACATGTCTGGAAAGGCAACCTGTCAACAGTGGCCACTTTTTCTGTTTTCCTCATTGGGTGGCCTTTATAGACAGGTTTGACTGTACTTTTATTGCATGTTGATTATGTATATTGAAGAAGCAAAATACATGAATACAATGTCTATAATATTTATGACTGAATCCCAATCACAGCTCACAGAATTAGGAGACATGAATATAGTGCGTACATGTAATTATATGAAGCCCAACATTAGCTTCCAAATTTATTTATTATGGACTAAGTATTTACAATCTTGAAGCTAACTGTAAGTGCAGTCCAACCCATCTCAGCATTTGTAAGTTGTCATCAGGGACAACTCATAATATATGTAATTTCTTTTGCCAAGTGCCTGAGAGTGCATAATTTAGTTTTGTATAAGTTTAGAGAAGTTTAATACAATAGATCAGATTTATATGGGTATGTTTGAGAGTATTGCATCATGGCTAATTCTTTTTGAAAGAGTTTACCAGTTTATTGTTTTGTTTGTTTATTTGAAGAAAGAAAAAATAATGTAAGTACATGTATTTGAGAATCTCTATGCAAATCAAAATTATATTTATATTATTTTCTACTTTAGTACACCTTGAAAAAGAAAATAAAGTTGACAAAGTATTCCGACTGAGACTGTACATTTTGTGTTGTGATTTCGATTTAGTTTGATCTGCAAAGGATTTAATGAGATAACTTGCCATTGCCCAAGAAAATATGATCAATCATCACAAACAATAAAAAGATAAATGATTTACATTTGTTGAAATCTTGAATATCTTACAACTAATGGGCTATAATATCCAAATCGGCTCCTCAGTAAAACATGAATCCATTGAGCTATGAAATGCAAATACACCTGTACGACTATTATTCTCTTTGTGTCTTATAGCCTTATCTAGTTTTCCATCCGTTTCTATTAGTATCATTATCCAGCCAATCTCTATTCTATTTGAATCGGAATGCCATTTTCATCTGCTCTTTCTCTCTCCACTCCCTCTTTCTTTCTTTCTTCTATTTTCTCTCTTCCACTCCTCTCATAATTCATGATTTTATTGTCCATAATATAATACAGAAAGTTGTTTTCCATTGGTGTAACATGTAATACATAAAACATGAGACAAACACATGGTGTCGTGTGCTGAAGCCAGAAGGGCGTCAAAACTCTATAAGAAAAAGTCTATGAGCAGGTACGGTCCTCTGGCTTCCAGCACAAAACATGACAAAACAGTTATATGACTTATACATAGCAAGAATTTTAAATACAATTCTGAATCACATCATGAATAAATTCAGGTATGAATATAGATGTGAATATGAAAGTAGAATAGGAGCAGCATCACAATCGAAATACGAGCAGAAAGGGAAAGGAAAAGAGAGCTCAAGCTCGAAGGACTGATAAAAGAGAGAAATATAGGGAGAGTTAGTAAGGGTCCAAAGGGAAAGGGGAGAGATAGAGGAGAGATGGCATAATTTACACTCTCTCCCTCCCACTCTTTCTTTCTCTCTGACTCCCTCCCAACTTTTTTTCTTTCTCTCCTCTTTCCCTCCCACTCTCTTTCTTTCTTTCTCTGACTCTCTCCAAATTTTTTCTTTCTCTCCTCTCTCCCTCCCACTCTTTCTTTCTCTCCGACTCCCTCCACCTTTTTTCTTTCTCTCTAACTCCCTCCAACTTTCTTTCTCTCTCTCCCTTTCCTTCTTTGTTTCTCTCTCTCTAAGTATATAGTTATCTAGCCACACGTCTTCTCCCCATGATGTGTTCACAATATATTTCAGCTACCTCCTTACTTTTCTTCTTTCCCTTCCTCTTCCTCTCTATGCATCGATACATGTACGTGGCCAGGCAGAGAGTAACGCACTGTACAATAATCACAAATAAAACAATAATTTTCAGACATATCTGATACACAATTTATTACAGAGGACAACTACACAGTTGTGCAATATGTTGCACTGAATGGAATTCAACTTGTACAAGATGCTTGTGATATCACATATCTTTACAGTAAAAAAAAAAAGAAACAATTAATTTACAGCAAATAAGTTGTACAGTGAATCTAGAATCAATAGTCCAATCCTCCCTAGAATTAAACGTAGGAAATGTCTAATTATCTTGAATCCTGCAAACACTATGGGGTTTTCTTCTAATTTAAAGAAAGGTACGTATTAGGTATCTGAGATCTAGCTTCACGCAGGTGGATGTTGAGCAGAGCCATCAATGAAACGTTCATCCCCATTGCATGGGAAAAACTAGTCCGAAAGCTTCAGTCTCTGATATCAACGGCTGTTCCGCTGAATACTCCAACATTTTTTTTTGTTAAATGCACAAGAAACCATTTGTTGATACTTGATACTCATGTTACAGTTATAACTAATCATGTCTTTTAAATAATATCTTCCACTATTTGGTATTAAAAATCTTCTGGAATAGGACAACAAGAAAATTAAATATTCACTAGCCCTTACATATTGATGTGACCCACGTACATGGAAAGGAATTCTGAAGTAAACTGGGCTACAGTAAGATCTGCATAAAGTTACAAACTTGATATTGTTATTAAATTAAATGAGTGTATTTCACCCGTTTCTCAATGAAACCTCAGATTTATTACAAAGGGTCTTTATTGTTTCCCGAGCCCTGTCTTATAAACAATATTAATCAGAACTCTATTCAAGACAAACAGAGCAATTTTAAAGTTTGTGATTCAATGGAGCACTTGCAATCGTTCCGGAGTGTGATCTCTTTTATAAGAGGGGGACAGGTTGCACTTAACATTTTGAGAAATTGTTGGATGAAATTATCCCCACATAGGACACTTTTTTAACAAACTAAGATAAGCAGTAAGACTATGAACAGTATAGATTACAAAACGCTTGCACCCTAACACAGCAGCACCACTATCAGTGTTAATGCTCCATTGGCTGATCTGAACCTGTAGCGGGCGCTGGGTCACCTTCAGCTGCTGGCGCTGCTGGGGCATCTGTATCCATGCTTGCTGCGTCGGGTGCCCGACGGCCCCTGGAGCGGGCCTCCGTCTCAATACCAGCCAGCTAGAGGAAAGGACACTAGTCAAGGAAAATGAACATTGTCTTAAAGCCCATCTGTACTAGTTTACAGGAGGGATTAGACCACCCTGCAAGGTCACTGGACAGGTGGTTATCTCATCAAATCAACTCTGAGTTAACATAAGAAAAAGAGGATCATGGGGACCAACGGTCACCAATTAGGCATTGTTTGCTATACAGAGGGAGCAAGTAGCTACAAGTAGTACAGTGGAGTTTTAAACATGGACAAAAACACAGGCACGCTAATAGTATTTGAGCCGTTGACGACTGAATTTTCTCACCTTCCATATAGAATTAACCCATTCCCTTTGAGAACCAAGTAGCTCCTGTATTAAACCTATGGGAATACAATAATTCAGTAGCCAAAGGGTTAATACAGGAAGAACCTAGTTCCAATAGACAACAGGTTAACTTGTTATATACTGCTGCTACATTTGATGTCACAAAGACCTACTAAGATATGTATTACACAGAAAACAAGATGTATTTAATGTTCAAATGAGATTTCAACAAGATTTATTTGTTGCCCTTGTCTACTCCTTCCCCTATAATTGAGGATACTCGCTAACATAATTATCTGATATTGCAATGGAGGTCAATTGAAATTATCATGACCAAGAATGCATCTATGGAGCATAAATACATTTCCCCTGGACAGGCCCTGGTTATCCTTACATATTGAGAATTGTAGCAAGCAGGTTGGGCTTTAGAATTTGGAAATACAGACTGACATTGCCTTTAGGACTAATCCTCTCTTCTCAGGATCTTGTCCTTTCATTTTCCTTTCCAAAAGAAGAAACCTCACAAAAATTTAAGATGAAAAAAAAAAAAAGGCATCAGAACATCTTTAACCAACTCCAGGAATCTTCATGCTACAAATTGTACAAAGTAAAGTCTACAATTACCATCTACACTATCATACCCCAGGCATCATCTAGTGTATCCTTGGACAACCCTTCCACTTGATGAAAATCATCTAAATAGTATTCTTCAAAATTTAAACATCAAATAACTTATTTGGTTTCACATAGTTATGTAATGCTTCATAAAAGGATACAAATTTGGCGACGTCATCGTCTTCGTAGACTGTGAACTTCTCGTCCTTGCCTACGATAGCCACTGAACAATTCTATAAGATATTGGAGAAGAAAATGGATAATATCAACAATACTATAATACAAATACTATCATAAAATATATTGTAGAGTAAAATGTGTAGGTTTTAAAGAGGGCAGTGACGCTACATTACTGCAACAACTTAATTGTTTGTCACTTTCAATGGGTAGTATATCTCTCATGACATCATCATCATCATCCTCATCATCATCATCATCATCATCATCATCATCATCATCATCCTCATCCTCATCATCCTCATCCTCATCCTCATCATCATCATCATCATCATCATCATCATCATTATCATCATCATCATCATCATCCTCATCATCATCATCATCATCATCATCATCCTCATCATCATCATCATCATCATCATCATCATCATCATCATCATCATCATCATCATCATCATCATCATCATCATCATCATCCTCACCATCGTCGTCATCATCATCATCCTCATAATCATAATCCTCATAATCCTCAAATGATGCCATTACCTTTGTATTGAGTTCACTTTCATTGGGTAGCGTATCCCTCAAAGCTCTCAACCCATGTTTCACCAGCTCTTCAAGGGTAGCTAAAAACAAAGATGGTGAACAAAAAAGAATGGTCCATAAGCACGTCTACCTAATGATATGGAATCGACATGGGCATTGCCACAATCAAGATCTCATTCATGTTTCACCAGGAGGCCCCTTTAACATTTGCCTTGGATAAAGAGACACGCAAATCTTTTCTATAATTCCATCGTGTTGGAAAATGGAATGCAATATTGTCTTGTTATGTTGTGTGCTGAAAGCCGGAGGACCGTACCTGCTCATAGACTTTTTTCTTTATAGAGTCCTGACGCCCTTCTGGCTTTCAGCACACAACACCATGTTTTTGTTTCACATATTACATGTTACACCGATGGAGAATTTTTGTCTGCAATATGTATTGACCATAAAATCTTGATTCCCCTTTTTCTGTAGATGCATATCATTCACGATTTACAGAATTGAATGTCAACAAATGAGAATTATAGAAATATTTTTGAACAAAATCTACTCACCGGTCTGGAAATCATCAATCTTCTTCTCGAGGTAGGTCCTTGCTGACTGGGAGCGAGCTCCGATGGCCATGCACTTACAATCAAAGTAGTTTGCGGATGGGCACGTCTGGAAGATGTGTGGGCCCATCTCCTGTAGAGGGATGGAAGAGAGAACACAGTAGCGTTATAATTCAACTCTTGTTTTGCCCGATAGGATAGTAGTAAATAGGACAAAATCAAAACTGGATTGTTTTTTCATGCCTTTTGAAATTAAGACATAAATAAGGAACTGAATTTTTCAAACCCTTGATTGATTTGTCCTGATTTATGTTTCTTGAGAAAGTTACATCTGAAAGAATTCTCCAAAGGCCCTAATTCAACCAGTCCACCTTTCATTCTTGAGTTACAAAAAACATTAAATTTACAAGGGGTACAAATAAGTTAGTTGTTAACTGTACAGTGTATGCGTTCATACTGCAACTGGAATCGTGCTTTACCATTGTTGTTTATTTGATTGTCATTTGATTTCTAATTAACCATGGCTAATAACTGGGGGGGGGGGGGGGGGTCAATTAACCAACCCAAATGTTGAACATATGAAACTTTTTATTTCTCAGATCTGACATAGAGAGTGGCTTTTCATGAATAAACTCAGCTTTTACAACTTTTACCATACACTACACACATATTTGTTTCCTTTCCCATTAAAGGTAATACAACGTTTTGGTATGGGGTCATGAATTTGGTTCAAATAAACATATTGGAAGCATATACGATCCTACAATATTCAGTGATCGTTGTCGCGGTCGAAATCGACTCTAATGTTATGAAATTGTAAATAATAAACACTTCATGTTGAATAGCTCCCTCTCAAGCTCAAGATATTAATTAAGCTACAAAACAATTTTTATTGACTAAAATTGACTGATTAGCTATTCTTGTTCGGAAATTATATACCACAACTACATATTCTGAGATTTTCATGGTCACAGCTACCATTGTACGGCCGTAGGAGCTATTTGAAATTCATCAAAATTTACCGGGAGCACCGGTAAATCCTTATATTCAATTTTTCTCGAAAGCAGAAGTGTTTTAGGGGCTAAAATTTCTGGTGTTTTTAATACATCCACAGGGGCATCCAAATATATTAAAATTGTAAAGAATTTCTATTCACCCATTTTTCAAAATTTCCAAAAACTTTGTAATACCTTTAAGACAATATAAATATACATATTTTGTTATGAGAGAAAACAAAAACCCTGAATACAATATTTTTCACCATAATGCTATCAGGCACACGTGAGACTATAAAATCCCACAAACCTCTCACCAGAGAGGGCATACTTACGTCATAGCCAGCAACAAGAAGTCCCACACCATACGGTCTCCTGCCATACCGCTGTGTGTTAATTTGAGATTCTGAGATGGTGGTGTTAAGATCGTCAACATTTGGAATGGATAGGACAGTTCATCAATGTATTCAAAACTACTGGGCATTATTTTTTTTATAACAGATAATATTAACAAAACCACATAACTTTCCATTTTATCCTTCCTCACATAATCTGGTGTTGCAAGTAATCCCTATAACTCCTTTAGTTTTCGTCTTCTACCAATGCATGTCCTTACGGATCTCTGGAAAATAATAATGATGATTTGATAAAGTGCAGATACTATAGAATTTACAAATGTACCCTACTCTTTGATTTAAAACTCCTTAAAATGCTTGAGTATCAGAGAAGAAATCTATTTGAACATGTCTGAAAATATGTGGGTCTTGAAGCGGCATAACTGCAAGTGCAATCTCCAAGAATGACCTTTTATATAGAGTGAAAAGAGAGGCAAGGAAAGTGTATATCTTAAAAGTGAAAAAGGTTTCTGCCAACATGCATGTTATTGAAATCATCTTACAGAGATCTCGTTTTCATAAAAAAGCTTATATTGTTGGAGCATTTTGCCCTAAGGGAAATTATTTCCCTCTCACAAAAAATGAGAGTAAAAGCTTGTCCCATATCATAAGCACATCAGAAATAAATCAAAGGATACTGTTGCCAATTTCTGAAACTAATCGGGAAACAGGTAGGGGTGTCTCGTAGGCATAGCGGGAGTTCAAACACTCTGTCCTCATGAATTTGCTGCAAGGGAAGACAAAAACAGGACACATCTTTAAGTAAAATTTTTTTTAAACATCAGAACAAGGTATTTGAGGAAAGAAGTGTGACGGTCTGCAGAAATTTGAATGTAGTCCTCTTTTTTCACTGACACATGCTCTTTTCTTTCCTTCTTTTTAATCTCACGAAGGAATAAGATAAATTATATATAACAAAAAACTGATACAAAGAATGTATTATAACTAGTAGATATCCTACTGTATGTCTTTTATTTATGAGATCACATAAACATGGAGTAAACAACTAAATCCAATCTAGTTTAAACATATTTGTGACTTACACCCAGTAAATCAGATCGATTAATCGATCTGTAATTGAAAAACAAGTCAGAAAAAATCTTGGAACCAGCAGAATTTGAACCAAGATTTTTTCTGACTTGTTTTTCAATTACAGATCGATCAATCAATCTTATTTACTGGGTGTAAGCCACAAATATGTTTAAACAATTGAAATTTCTCCCAGGAAGCATTACATTTATATATGAATCCAATTTGTTTTAACTCAAGATCTTGTAAGTCGTTTTGCTTAATCTACAGATATGCGTACATGCAATTTCATCTATGTATAATTGAATTCATTATACAATATTTGGATAGTATTTCAAAAACAAATGATAGATTTGAGGTCATGCAGAAGCCTGCATTTCATCAGCTCGAGTTTGCCAAATAACCCGCTTTTTAAAATATCCCGATCGCAAATTAACTGCAGTTGCAATTAGCTGGATATTAGGTCGAGAAAATATCCAGAGTAATCTTGGTCCTGTTTCCAATACAGCCTGCTAATTTTGCGCCTGTCTGAGCTAGTTTTTGATGAGCGTATCGGTTGGGTGAAGACACAATTTCGAGCTTCGGGATAATATTTTGAGTCTGAAAATAGCTGGTTATTTGACAAACTCTAGCTGATGAAGACAGATGATGGCCCATAGAAATTCTATAGATTTTTTTATAGAATTCTATAGAAGTTTTTTTGTAACTAAATTCTATAGACCATTTTTTATTCAGTAGCGACCAGCAATCAATTGATAATTAATAATCAATATTGCATGAGTCTTCTTCTTCTCTTTCTTCTCAGTCGTTATGCCTAATGAGACTACATGCATGGTTGAATGGTTCCTCCTTACCTAAGCATCCTAGCGTCTGATGTAAGTCCAGCGATAGAGATACCGATGTGATCATCAATGGGGATGATCTTCTTCTGATGAGAGGACAGCTCAGAAGAAGCTCTCTGGAAAAGAAAAATTACGATAGATAAAGATTACAAAGTTGATATTAAACTAATAAAAAAAGTTCGCAGTCCTTGGAACTGTTCTTCTTTTTTTACCTCTGGAAAAAGAAATAAAATAGGAAGTGAAAAAAAATTGCATAGGGCAACTTCACAGAAAAACACATCAAAGTATTCTTACAAAAGATATGAGAAGACTAAGGTTCTTGCATATTGATACAATTAATTTTTCAAAATGCTTTGAAGACCCAAAGTATGAAATTGGTGGGTTAATGCCATGGTGACAAACATTAACTGAATTTCAAAGAAGAGCTCTCAATAAGCCTTAAGAGTGCGATTTCAAAAGAAATTAATAATGCAATAGCAATATTATGTGTAGAAGTTTCACAGAAAATTTAGAAAATAAAAGGCTGCCCTGAACATAGAACACTTGAATTCCTCCTCACTAGTAGCAATCTGAACTTCATCTTCATTATAGCCTGCATAGCCCTATGAAGAATACCAAGACATTGTTTAATTTGTTTTACAAACTGTTTTAAGTACAAGTTCACCTACATCTCATATGCAGGTATTTTTAGTATTGTAATTAACACATGTTTCAATAGGGTGCCAGTGAATTTGTACTCATGACAGTTTAGGGAAACAATACTCAGAAGAAGAATGGTTACCTTAAGGGCTACAAGTACGGCATGGGTCTTGGACTTGAGACCCACGGTTGCAGAGCCCTGCTTGACGGCCTCCATGGCATACTCGATCTGATGGATCCGCCCCTGGGGACTCCATACTGTCACGTCGTTGTCATACTGGTTACGAAACTAAACAAAGATAAGCACAGATGATAAGTTTGAGTAAAATGTGCTGTTTTGAAGGAGCAATGAGTGCACTTTAGTTTAGTTTAAAGTATATTAAATCTACAAATGAATTAACAATTCACATTGATTAAGATGAAAAGTAAAAGAAGGAGAAGACGACGACGAAGAAGAAGAAGGGTGTTTTTTTTTTAAACATTAATCGTTATTTCGCTATTTGTTGACCTAGGGTGATGATTTTGGTATTATTTTTGATGTTTTTCAGCAATTATTTTGCCCCCTCCCCTGTTGGGTTGAGCCAAAAAGAATTGCATATGAAATTATGATCTCCCTCGAAGCAGTTCCCCAAAGTTGAATGACACTACAGCCCTGATTACAGATAATTAGCCTAACAATTAACAATAGATCTATCTACACACAAAGATATAAATAACGAAGAATTTAATGTACGAAATGGCAAATGAAAGAAGTCATCAATGGCAATATCACTCAGCAGTGCAGCGCAGCCAATTACGTCCAGCCCAATTCCCAACTGCAGCTGCCAGCCCCCGTACCATCAGCTCCGATATCCCTCGCACTCCTCCGGGGCAAAGCTCGCTAGAGTAACCGCTAACCTTCAGAGGATCACTGCCCAGCGCGCAGCGACCCTCTCTGAAGATGTTTGTTTATAGTCTCATATCATATTGAAGATTTAAGAATTAAGTACTGTATACATTTTAAAAAGATAATAAAATTCATTCTTATATCGACCGTACCATAATTAAAAAAAACTTACCATTATGTACTAATTTAGACAGTATTTCTTTGGATTACTCGGTCTCCCTTTTTGTCAAACGAAACGTGAGCAAGCAAATCGCATCTTTTCGCAAGAAGTTGTTTTTAAGAATGAAAGAGATATGATATAAGTTTTGCAAAAAATTAAATTCATATTAAAAATAATTAAAAATATCCAATAAATTTAATTAAATAACAATAATCAACATCATTCTTTTTAAAATTCATTTATTCTTTTACAATTGTCAAGTTTGCATGAACGACATTGCTGAAAAAACATGGGTGAAGCTTTTCTTCACACACCTAATCGGAGATGAAGGTAGCCCATCCAATGTGTAAAAATTGCCAATTTGATAAGTGTAAGGATCGCATTGTACACGTACAACCGCTATACTACACACACGCAATATATTCTTTGTGTATTGTATCCATCAGGCATGATCAGTGCAACGATGGCTGGCTACCAATTAAAATAGGCATGGTGGTCGGATATAATGAGAGTAGATGATGGGGGGGGGGGGGGGGGGGGGGGGTTAAAGCGCAGAACTTAAGGGCAAATCAAAGAATTATACTACGACCTCACCTCATTTATGTTATAAATTAAAACGTTATTATCTTCTTTCGAATTGCAATATATCCCCGCACCATAATTGGAATGGAATGGAATGGTGGTGGTTATTTTACCTGACTGCTAAGAAAGCATTAATGCTTGTATAAGTAAGCAACCAGACGGCCGACGGCTTTAGGTCCTCTCCGCGGGACCTGGTGATGAGAATTATAAGCATGTCATGCATATATATGCCTTTTCTCTGCGAAAGGGAGCATTGACTCTTTAAATACCAAATCACATAAATTCACCACCCTACGCTAACTTTTCACCACCCTAGCGTCGTGTACATTGTCTATGGATAAAGTGGAATATTAACTCTTCACCACCCTACGCTAACTTTTCACCACCCTACCGTCATGTACATTGTCTATGGATAGGTAATATTAACTCTTCACCACCCTACGCTAAGTTTTCACCACCCTACCGTCATGTACATTGTCTATGGATAAATGGTAATATTAATTCTTCACCACCCTACGCTAACTTTTCACCACCCTACCGTCATGTACATTGTCTATGGATAAAGTGGAATATTAACTCTTCACCACCCTACGCTAACTCTTCACCACCCTAGCGTCATGTACATTGTCTATGGATAAAGTGGAATATTAACTCTTCACCACCCTACGCTAACTTTTCACCACCCTAACGCCATGTACATTGTCTATGGATAAAGTGGAATATTAACTCTTCACCACCCTACGCTAACTTTTCACCACCCTAGCGTCATGTACATTGTCTATGGATAAACTGGAATATTAATTTTTCACCACTCTACGCTAACTTTTCACCAACCTAGCGTCATGTACATTGTCTATGGATAAACTGGAATATTAATTTGTCACCATCCAATTACAATACAGTGTATTGTCCTATGTGCAGGCCAAAAATAATGACGAGGTTAAATTCCAACGTAATTTGAATGATAATAATAATTTAGAACTTCCCTCAAAACCAAAAGGTTTGAAAATGTCTTTTTGTGAGAAAATAATGATCATTAGTTGTCAAATTGAATTTAGCGAGCACGCTCGTTTAATTAGTCTGATTTTTACATAATAGACAAATGTACATTTAGTACATGTAGAGAGGCGCGGATCCGGGGGGGGGGGCGAGCGGGCCTTGCCCCCCCCCCCCCCGAAAAAAAAGGAGAGAAAGAAAAGGAAAAGAAGGGAAAGGGAAAGAGGAGAAAAAGGGAAAAAAAGGAAGAAGAAAAGAAAAGAGGGAAGAAGGAGATCGGGGGGGGGGGCAAAATGAATTGCCTCCCAGGCTGCTGCCCCCTCCCCCAATCAAAAAATAAAAGAGAAGGAAGGAAAGGGAAGAAAAAAAGGAAAAAATGAGATAAAGGGAAGAAAAAAAGAGGAAGAAGAAAAGAAAAGAAGGGGGATATCAGTTGCAATTTTCCCGATCGGGGGGGGGGGGGGTTGGAGGCAAAAGGCCCTTGCCTCCCCCCCCCCCCCCCCGTCCCCGCGTTAAAAAAAAGAGAAGGAAGGAAAAGGAAAAGAGGAGAGCTAAAAGGGAACAAAAAAGAGGAAGAAGAAAAGAAAAGGGAGAAAAGAAGGGGAGATCAATCAACAATGTGTGGAGCGGAGTGGGGCCAAAATGACCTCCCCCCCCCCCCCCAGGCAAACTTAAAAGAGAGAGAAGGGAAGGGAAAGGGAAAGAGGAGAGAAAGGGAAAGAGCAAAAAGAGAATGAAGAAAGGTAAGGGATATCAGTTGTAATTTTCTCGTCAACAAGGTGTAAATCTGGGGGGGGGGGGGGGGGGGCACTGGCGTACTGATAGGGGAGGGGGGGGGGGGCTTTGGGGAAATAAAATTCAAACGTGGTTAATTTCTAATTCCATAACGGTGGTTTACAAATAATGCTGAAATGACATAATTTTCCGAGATTTTTCATCACTTTTAAGTAAATTGTACTTTTGTATGCGTTTGTTGGAAAATGACAAACTCCTAAATTTACAGCCAGGCAAGAAAATGCTTCTTGAGATGCCTACATGTCAGGGCCCGCGGAACGGCGGGGATCGGGATCCTCGAGCCTCCCCCCCCCACTTTTTTTTTGAAAAAGTATATAAAGAGAAATAGAAAGAAAGAGAGCAAGAAAGAAAAAATAGTTAACTGCCAGTGACACATTATAATGATGTATCAAAATATGCTCATCTGACCATGATTAAATTAAATGCCTAAGGCGGGCCCTTAGATGCTCATCTGACAGTAATTAAACGCCTAAAACCCCTGAGCTTCCGGGGGCTCTGGCCCCTGACCCCAACGAAAAGCCTCAAGGCGGGCCCTTGATACTCATCTGACCGTAATTGAGTGCCTAAAACTCTTGAGTTTCCGGGGGCTCCGCCTCTTGACCCCCACGCCAATTAGTGACCTGCAAATGTCACAATGGGCAGACAAGGTATCAACATAAGTTCATCTGACTGCAGGCGCGTAGCCAGGGGGGCGGTGGGGTGGTCCCCCAAAAAACGCGTAGCGAGGGAGCGCGGGAGGGGGGAAACTGAATTCAGACGAAGAATATTTTCGAGAGCGGTACAACGAATCGTCTTCTTTCTCTAAAAAATAAATGAAACGTCGAAGCTTCCGCGCTTCGCACGGGAGGGGGGGGGAACTGAATTTAGACAAGGATTAAGAGTCGAGAACGGTACAACGAATCGTCTTCTTTCTTTAATGATTTAATAAAACGTAAAAGCTTCCGCGCTTCACGCAGGAGGAAGAAAATAAATTCAGACGAGGATTATCTTCGAGAGCGGTACAACGAATCGTCTTCTTTCTCTAATAATTTAATGAAACGTCGTAGCTTCCGCGCTTCGCGCGGGAGGAGGGGGAGGAGACTGAATTTAAACAAGGATTAAGAGTCGAGAACGGTACAACGAATCGTCTTCTTTCTCTAATGATTTAATGAAACGTAAAAGCTTCCGCGGTTCGCACAGGGGGGGGGGGGGGAACTGAAGTTAGACAAGGATTAAGAGTCAAGAACGATACAACGAATCGTCTTCTTTCTCTAATGATTTAATGAAACGTAAAAGCTTCGCGCGGGAGGGGGGGGGGGGGAAACTGAATTTAGACGAAGATTAAGAGTCGATAACGGTACAACGAATCGTCTTCTTTCTCTAATAATTTTTGAAATGTCAAAGCTTCCGGGGAAAACTCGCCCCTACTTGCACCCACCCCCTCCCAATTACGTCACTGCTGGTCACCATAACGTACCAATATTTGGCTCGCATGATTTCAAATTGCCCCCCCCCTAAGAAATCCTGGATCCGTGCCTGCATGTACCCCTTACAGCTCTATTTATTACCAAAGCAAGTCAATCATTCATTCAATAGCGTCTGACGGTCAAGTCTTAAAAGTAAACAGGTTTCCTTGCATAATTTGAATTCTATAGGACACTGCTAACAGATATACGTGACATATTCACAATTCCTGCAAAGTTCTTCAGACTTTCATGTTGGCTGAAAAAGAGATCATGGGGTTCAAATAAAACCTTTAAGAGATTTATTATTTCCGATCGGTGGGTTTATGTATAAGCAATTGCTTCACGAGGATGAACTGAAATAAACAGATGCGATCCCCTTCTGTCGCCTATATAAATTTTAAAAAAATATATAGGGCTTGATATGTAGACGGGTGAGATACTTTAACAATGAAACAGTCCTCTTCATTTAACAGACTATAAAAACAAATTATAAAACTTGCACTCTCCAAAATATTATCGTCAAGAATTTAAAATTATATTGTACTATCCTGTATATCTTTTTCTAATACAACTGTAGAGAAAACATATATTGTAACATTCTGTAATATGTGGAATATATTTTACAAATGAACCTCGATATACCTGGCAAATTACCTTGTTCCCGAAATATTTTGCGGTACCGCAAGATCTTATGCAGGTACATGCAACTGGGAAACTGTTGATTCGTCGGAAGTTTGCAACTTGAATGGATCTTATTTCAGTCGTTATGAATTCAAGAGAATCGGAAATGAACGGCCAAATTGTTGTGCTGTTTATGTAGGACCTCCACACAATTCCACATTGATTCCAAAGGGATGACAACATAATGAAGCACGAAGGCAAAGCTGGTCTCGTAAATGTTTTTAATAATATGTGGTTTTCATTGTGACTTGGTTGCCATGTCTAATGTTTTAAATATGTGCACAGCTGCATTTGAGATGTAAACTGACTGTACAACATTGAATTTATCTCCCATATAATTATACTAGAGAGAATGTGAATAACAACGAATTTGTTAACAAAACGCATTTTGCCCCCCCCCACACAAAAACGCCCCCCCCCCTCCAAAAAAAAAAAAAAGAAAAAAAAAAAGGAGTAAACATGGTTTGTATTTTTAACCCAAAAGAACATAACAATAATAAAATCCTGAATTAAATCACATATACAATTCCATTCAAAGAAAAGAAACGTTCACAGGAATTAAATTTCATAAACATTGCGCATGCCACCTATACGGTATTTATCAATGGAGGTCTTTATAATAGCGCAAATCATGGACATATTGTGCGAAAATGGGAAAGTGTGTCTGTTTTTGTTGTTATAGGGGTGAGAAGACATGAGCCCCCGAACGCTGGCGTACTGATGGGGGGGGGGGGGGTGTATTTCTTATTCGATACCAGTAATTTATAAATGTTCTTGTTATGACATGATTTTCCGATATTTTTTCTCCATTTTTTTGTGTAAGTCTTACCTTTTTATGCGTTGTTGGACGATAAGAAATTCCCAAATTACAGTCGAGCGAAAAATACGCTTATTTAGAAGCCTTTATGTCATGGTCTGCAAAGTGGTTGGGCTCTAGCCTCCCCCCCCCCTCACTTTTGAAAAAGTATGTTAAATAGAAAAAGAAAGAAAGACGGAGAGAGAAAATAAGTGACCTGCCAATGTCACAAATAAGGTATAAAAAATGCTCATCTGACCGTAATTAAATGCCTTAAACCCCAGAGCTTAAGGGGCTCCGCCCCGAACCCCACCAAGTGCCTTAAGGCGGCCCCCTTGATGCTCATCTGACCGTAATATACCTAAAACCCTGAGCTTCCGGGGGCTCTGTCCTTGGATGCTCATCTGACCGTAATTAAATACCTAAAAAACCCGAGATTTCGGGGGTTATGCCCCCTAGACCCCACCAATGTCCCTAAGGCAGGCTCCTGGATGCTCCTGGATGCTCATCTGACCGTAATTAAATACCTAAGCCCCTGAGCTTCCGCGGGCTCTGCCCCCCTGGAGCCCACCAGGGGCCCTAAGGCGGGCCCGTGGATGCTCATCTGATCGTAATTAAAAACCTAAAACCCCTGAGCTTCCGGGGGCTCTGCCCCCTGGACCCACTATAGGGCGGGCCCCTGGATGCTCATCTGACCGTAGTTAAATATTAAAACCTCTGGGCTTCTGGGGGTTCCCCCCCCCTGGAACACGTCAATGGCCCTAAGGCGGGCCCTGGATGCTCATCTGACCGTAATTAAATACCTAAGCCCCTGAGCTTCCGCGGGCTCTGCCCCCTGGACCCCACCAAGGGCCCTAAGGCGGGCCCGTGGATGCTCATCTGATCGTAATTAAATACCTAAAACCCCTGAGCTTCCGGGGCTCTGCCCCTGGACCCACTATAGGGCGGGCCCCTGGATGCTCATCTGACCGTAGTCAAATATTAAAACCTCTAGGCTTCTGGGGGTCCCCCCCCCCATGGAACACGTCAATGGCCCTAAGGCGGGCCCCTGGATGCTCATCTGACCGTAGTCAAATAGTAAAACCTCTGGGCTTCTGGGGTTTCCCCCCCCCTGGAACACGTCAATGGCCCTAAGGCGGGCCCTGGATGCTCATCTGACCGTAATTAAATACCTAAGCACCTGAGCTTCCGCGGGCTCTGCCCCTTGACCCCCCTACCGAGACTCATGCCCTGGACCCTACGCCAATTTACGCTCTACCTGATCGTTAATACTCCACTTTGAAAAACGTTCCGCGGGAGCTGCATGTAACATGTAAGACTGGTGGTGATGCAGATTTTTTCCTCTGCCCCCCCCCCCTTCCGAACGTTTTTTCTCATTACGTCACTGCCCCTGGAAGGTGAGTGTCATAAATATGTCATAAATACTAAGTTTCCTCAAACATTATAAAACATGATACAATATTATTATTTGCGGAAGAAGGACTGTCATCGTAAGCAGATTGCTTGATAAAACGACAACCCTAGACAAAAACTCATGAATATATTAACACATATTAAGCAGATACGGATAGGTAATTTAAAGTACAAATTTCGATGATGGTGATATCGACAATGCAGATGAGGATGATGATGATGATGAAGACGATGATGATGATGATGATGATGATGATAATGATTCGAATGAAAGAAGAGATGACATGATAAACAATGAATAGTTGACACAGAAATTCTACCTTGAGTATTCTGATAATAACATCGTTTTAACTTTGGCCTTAAATGAGTAGAGTGAGCAGGCCCGTAGCCACGGGGGGGGGGGGGGGGGGGGGGGGCACGTGCCCCCCCCCCAAAAAATTGAAATTGTTTAGACCCCTCCCCAGAACGTCGATCAATTACATGTATGTGTCCCCCCCCCCCCCTAAACATCAAACTCTGGCTACGGCCCTGGGAGGGAGCAACATGATTTAATAGATTCTGGGAGAAAGTTCCATAGGTCAGGACCATGGTGTCTTATGGATTTATTTCGGGTATACTAGATGAAAATTGAGGAATTACGAGTAGGGTAAGAGTGAATAGCTTTATTCATAGTGTAAAAGTTTTGAAATGAAAGAGGGAGCATATTTTTTAAATACTTAAACATGATCAGTAAACATTGTAGCGAATTTATGTCGAATACTGTAAAGGTTTTCAGTTTGTAAAATATTGGACTTGTGTGCGATAAATAATGGTGAACCAGTACATAATACGAAGGGCTTTCTTTTGCAATAAATAAATAGAGTTGATTTTGATTTTGGCGCTGGTGGCCAATACTAAATTGCAATATGTTATATACTGTAATATCAATGAATTATAAAGCATAACAAGCGGATAACATGGGATTAATTTCTTCTTTCAAAATCATTTCAAAATTACAGTAAGTTTATTGGCTGCATGTATCTCTTTCAAAAAGTGTTTGAACTAACTATAACAATCCCATTTTTGTCTTGATATCTTGATTTGAAATGTCTTGATTTGTAACTGTCCCTTATTACCTACGCATATTGGTAATGAGAGACCTTTGGTGATGACGTCATAAATTATTTTTATCTTATTAATCAGTTACATCATGACCACAATTTTGTTTCCCAATAAAGAGAAGAAGTTACTAAAGAGAAAACAAAACTTTCTGTATGTGTAACATTTTTCATGTTTATGTAAATTATGGAAATGTGCTTAAGGGTCTCCAATTCCCCACACCTATCCTAGTACTAGAGATTAAAGAGGGCACTTATGAGAATGGAAAATGGACACTTATGGCAATGGAAAATGGGAACTTGTCGAAGGAAAAGGGGCACGTGTCAAAATAAAAGGGGCACTTATCAGAGTAAAAGGAGCACTATTCCTATGTAAAAAGGGGCACTTTTCGGGTGCTTGAAAAAGTGGGGGGAGGGGGCACTGTGCCCCTACTCCCCCCAGGAGTGCGGCCTCTGCTGGGGAGTATTCCTACCATTATGGTCGCCGTGAAGGCATAGGCATAACTAACACAAACTAACACGGTAAAGAGTTAATATTCCAGTTTATAGACTATATGTACATGGCGCTATATAGGGTGGTGAAAAGTTAGCGTAGGGTGGTGAAAAATTAAGAGTGCAGTTTATCCATAGACAATGTACATTGCGCTGTAGGGTGGTGAAAAGTTAGCGTAGGGTGGTGAAGAGTTAATATTCCAGCTTATCCATAGACAATGTACATGACGCTAGGGTGGTGAATAGATAGCGTAGGGTGGTGAAGAGTTAATATTCCACTTTATCCATAGACAATGTACATGGCGCTAGGGTGGTGAAAAGTTAGCGTAGGGTGGTGAAGAATTAATATTCCAGTTTATCCATAGACAATGTACATGACGCTAGGGTGGTGAATAGATAGCGTAGGGTGGTGAAGAATAAATATTCCACTTTATCCATCGACAATGTACATGACGCTGATGTGGTAAAGAGTTGAGATTTAAAAAAATATATCCATAGAAAATATGTACATGACGGTGACATAATGGTGAATAGTTTCTGTGATTTGGTATTTAAAGAGTCAATGCCCCTTTTCCCAGAGAAGGCATATTTATTTATTTATTTATTTATGCATGCATGCATGCATGTTCACAATTTCATAATTCATTGAAGTTAACATCACATGAAAAATGAATATAAAATAATATAACAAATCATTTCAATTTTACAATCCATTTGAATTGACTTCACATGAAAAAGAATATAACAATGATGTATCATAGACACGTTGCAACTAATATACAGTTTGAAGAAAGAACACACAAAGGTACGTGATGAAACATAAGCAAATAGAGCTTGAATCGTGTACCACCTTTCAAATATATAACATATGACAAATAACATTCATGCATGACTTATAATTATGGTGCGGGGATATATTGCAATTCAAAAGAAGATAATAACTTTTTAATTTCTAACATACATGAGGTGAGGTCTTAGTATAATTCTTTGATTTGCCCCCTAAGTACTGCGCTTTACCCCCCCCCCCCCCCCCCCCTCCATCATCTACTCTCATTATATCCGACCACCATGCCTATTTTAATTGGTAGCCAGCCATCGTTGCATTGATCATGCCTGACGGATACAATACACAAAGAATATATTGCGTGTGTGTAGTATAGCGGTTGTATGTGTACAATGCGATCCTTACACTTATCAAATTGGCAATTTTTACACATTGGATGGGCTACCTTCATCTCCGATTAGGTGTGTGAAGAAAAGCTTCACCCAAAAAACATGGCGGCCGTTATGTCTGCAACTTTTCGTCCTCTAATATTGAGTTGTACCTGTAAAATTCCTGCTCGAGCTGAGCTTGGTGTGGTGTCCAGATATACTACGGCGAAAAAGAATAAAGAATTCTACGGATCGTTGGTATCAACAAGTTTACCAGATGTAGATTCAGAAATTGAAAGTGAGTTAAATATATGAATGATCCATTGTAGTCCCACCTGTGTATTATTGTGTGAGTTTGTCATGCTGGTAGGCTGTGTAGTGCATAGATCTAGTAGTGTGGACTTCATAATAGGTCTAATCTCTGTTAGTTTTAATTTTAGGAAATGAAAATTATACAAATAACAAGAATATGAGAAGAATGGGGGAAATAGATGAAGAAATATGGTAAATCTATGGCATAGGTCTATTCTACTATGGCAAGATCAGGAAGAGATTGAGAAATGATCGATAGGGAGTTAGCCTACTCAGTTAGAACTTAGACGTAGACTAGATCTAGACTAATCTAGATCTAGTCTAGAGTAGACTCTAGAATAATTTTTAAAGATTACAATTTTAAAGACAAGTGAAATAGTTCGACCCGAGTTATGTTCAACTAGAGACTAGACTGATAGGCCTTGAAAATGGAGAGTCAGAGAGAGAGAGGGGGGGGGGGGGGGGGGGGGAGAGGGTCAGAGGGATGGTAGGAGAACAAAAATTGAGCAAGACGAAGCAAGGCCAAGGGAAATCTGGAGAGAGAGAGAGAGAGAGAGAGAGAAAAGGCAGGAAAGAGAAAGAGGAAGCTAGAGAGAGAGAGAGAGAGCCTCACTAAGTAAAGTTTTAGATTTGTCTAAGCCTTCACAAGTTTCCAAGGTGAATGACCATTTCCTTGCTTTTTAAGACGAAAAAAGAGGAGCAAAAATGAAACTCTTTCTGAGAGAAGCCAGAAAAGGACAAAAGAAGATAAGACTGAAAATACCTACCGGTAAATCAGCTGATCAGTAGGCCTAGAAGATAGATTTTCACAGTAATGTTTACAAGCAAGAACTTTGCAATACATGTGTATCACCAGAAAGATGCAGGATAAAATCTTTGTCCTGAAAATCTAGTACATTAGCTTAATGACAAAACTATTATAGATTAATCTTGTACTGGAAACACTTGATAATATTGAGAAAGCTTGAAGTATTTATATTTCATGACAAATACAATGTAGCACATGGATACTATTTGTGTGGCATATATGATATAAAGAGTTACATATGATTGAAAACATTATTTTCTATCCTTATTTCTTTTTCAGAGGTATCTCCACACTCCATGCGAGGGAAGGCGATGAGAGCCATGGAGATGAGATTAAAGAGATTCACACCAGTAAGTAGTAATATAATGGCAGTGGCTCTTAGAGCCAAGCACCCTCAGATGTTCATAATATTATACAGTCAAACCTGTCTACAGCGAACGCCCAGGGAAACGCAAAAAAAGGGGTCTTTGTAGACAGGTTCCTTTAGTACATGTTTCAACGTAAAACCATTTTCAAGGGAAACAAATAATATGTTTGTTTTAGACAGGTGGTCACTAAAGCAGGTTTGACTGTATATACAATGAGATATAACTACTCTACAGAAAGCAAGTTAAAAGGAACTTTTCCTACGATTTCTGCAAAGAAAATATTATTTTCACCCAAATTATTTCTCATTTACTTGATTAAATCAGGATAAGTTGCATCTTTACATATCAGAAGCAAACAAAAATCCAAATTATATCATTTATTTATTTTACTATTAAAAGTAATGCCCTATTATTTTGGTTGAACTTTTTTTTTTTTTTCTCTTTGCCTCTTAGAGGTGTTTATTCAATATTCAAACAATAACATAATTTTGCTTACAATTCAGCAAATCAATGGAACATCAATAATACACAAGTTATTTATTCAAATATAACTAAGCAAATTCGCAGGAAATTTCATATTTTGTACTTTCAAATGTTCGTTTATTTCTATTCTGTTAGTCATTTCTCTCTTAAATAAGTAAATCAAACTCAAATCTCTATTATCATACCCATACTTATTACGAAAAATAATCATTTTATAAATCGACCAAAAAGCAATAGTCATTATCAAATCGATTTCGGTTTGCGAATTCATTTTGAGTAATAAAACAATATCTATCTCTATTCTAAGATTGAAAGCACGTGAAAATAAGTCCTTTAAATAGGCAAAGAAGGTTTCATTTGCCTTACATGAACGCATGAAGCACATCTTCAGTCTTTTTGCATTTTAAACAAAGGTCATCGTATGAGAGACCCCACTTGAACAGATTGTTACGAACTGGTTACATATTATATAAAAGCTTGAAATTAAATTCACGTAGACGAAAATCTTTTATCCCAATCAAATTCCTATTAAAAACAGAGGACCATTTAACGTCCTTCTGCAAGACATCTTCCCAATACAAACAACATTTATTTATTTTAATTTGTTCAAAAACTAATCATATTATACCACTGTTTACTACTCAAAAGACTAACAGGCTTAACTGATTTTCCAAATACAAAATGGGGGATAGAGAAATTATGGTCTTTGAAAACCAAAGGTACCCTATGCTTATCATTTATCCAAATTTTTGGAATTGATTTTTGTAACTTTGTATAGTCAAAAATCAAAAATTGTTTACTTCTCCTAGTTTTAAGGCGGATAAATAATTCATTTACTGAAACAAAAGTACCATTTTTAAAGATATCATTTAAGTATATAATACCACTTTTATACCAGTCTTCATAAAATAACATTTTCTTTTCAAAAACAATATCTTGATTATACCATAAAATATTTTCGTCGACATGTTTCTGTGTCTGACATTCAGCTGATGTGTATTTGTTTATGAGGTACCATGCATGTAATATTTCTATGTAAAAATATGGGACATTTCTAAGTTTTAAGAGATTTAAAGTATAATCAGTATAATTGCAATTGAGCAGTAGATGCAGCCCTCCCAAACAGTCAAACCAATGTTTACACATGTCTTTCCAATTTCCTGTTGTATTATCTAAAAGCATCCCAAGTTACCCAAATTATTTCTCATTTACTTGATTAAATCAGGATGAGTTGCATCTTTACATATCAGAAGCAAACAAAAATCCAAATTATATCATTTATTTATTTTACTATTAAAAGTAATGCCCTATTATTTTGGTTGAACTTAATATGCCTTGTATTCACATTTTCTTACCACAATACAAATAATAATCATTGATAAAAGGCGAATGAACCATAACATTAGGAAATAGCATGGCAAGTACATACATACTACAATATTTATTTTACTGACAGAATATTGTTGCAGACAGTATAAACAAAACTAGTAAATGGTTATCTGTATTTCATTTCTTCAACATTGTTCAGAATGTTTAAAGTCATGAATCATTCTATATTCCTCTTTCTTTCCTATATTTTCTTTTATATTTGTTCTTTTGTAGCTTCCAGCTCCAAGGGAATCCAAAATGGTGGACGACCAGGAATGGGCGGGGGTGTACCCCACTGCAGCCAGCTTCAAGTGGTCTGCTGTACCCCTCCCACTCCGGATGGGATACCCTGTCAGGAGGGGAATTCCCCCTCATAAGTTTGGAAATCTAGAACTTATCAAGGTTGGTTTTAGTCTAATTATGGAGTTTTTACATGTACAGTCAACCTACTAAGGTGACCACCAGTACAGACAGACCACCTGTCTACAAAGACCACATTTTGTGTTACCCTTGAAAGTGGTTTCAGATTGAAACATGTACTACAAGAACCTGTACATGAAAATCACCTGCCTATAAGGACCACTTTTCTTGTCTCCCTTGGGTGGTCTTAACAGACAGGTTTCACTGTACATGTAGGTAAAATAATATACATTCAGAGCATTGATTACCATAGGTTGTTGGAAATAATTCCAACATATTATGTAGAAATTTCCTTTTAAAAATAATATTATCTGAAGTCATTACTTTTCAATTCTAAGGAAGATTGATAACCATTATGACAGGAACAAGGCAGTGCCCTTGATGTAAAGGATTATTGAGCTGAATTGAATTGATGATAGTTGGATTTAATTTCCTACTACTTGTACTTTGAAATTATTTTGTCCTCCTAGCATCACTGCAGGCCCTGACCCCCCCCCCCCCCCCACCTCCATTCACTGCACTGCTCGCCCTTTGGGATAGTGTGAAAGTGGTAATTAAAAAAAATAAAAATAGTTGTATTCCATTTATGCTCTTGTTCATGGCAGGCGGGGGGGGGGGGGGGGGGGGGGGATGATGCAATAGAAAAAGACAATAGTATTAATACTTATAGTATTTATTTATTGCCATGAACTACATAACTTGTGCTCATTAGTATCTGAATACATTATCCAGTACATGTAGATTTGTTCATTCACACACAATGCATATGTGATGTAATATTTTATTGATTTTCAAATTTTCAAACCTGTGTACTACATGATATGTATGTTATCTGTGATATTTTTCCACATCTTTTTATGAACAGATTCCCAATTTCCTTCATCTGACTCCACCGGCCATCAAGAAACATTGCGCAGCTCTGAAAGGTGAGCATTCACAAACTCAGGGATCCCTTTGTTGTGAAAATAAAAGTTGTATTTCTTAATTCCTTGAAAAGGTTCTTTGCCTAGTGTCCAAGATGCAATTTTTGAATCTTAAATGAAACATGTCAAAATTAATTAAACTACCCTGGTTCAAACCAAGCCTCTCCTCTTACAGTGCAGTAAACTATAAGCCGGGAAATATTTATTTTCGTCTAGTGCTAAGATTGCTAGTAGTGTGAATTATTGGTAGTTCCAGGATTCACTGATAGGGGGTGCATAAGAAAAAGAGAAAGAGAGAAAAATGTCAAAATTAATTAAACTACCCTGGTTCAAACCAAGCCTCTCCTCTTACAGTGCAGTAAACTATAAGCCGGGAAATATTTATTTTCGTCTAGTGCTAAGATTGCTAGTAGTGTGAATTATTGGTAGTTCCAGGATTCACTGATAGGGGGTGCATAAGAAAAAGAGAAAGAGAGAAAAATGTAGAGAGAGACAGACAGACAGAGACAGACAGAGAGAGAAGAGGGGGGGGGGGGGGGGTTTAAGTAAGAATGATGTCGGGTCACCAATAATATTTATTCATTATATGAGACAGCTAACCCATTAGGCCAGTATGCTATTCCTATCACTGCTATTTTTCTACCTATTCTGTTTATTTACAGAGCTGTGCTCAGACTGGCCAGAAGGTCTAGAGACAGACGCTGACTGTGAAAGACACTTTCCTCTAGAGACAGTGGAATCTGATTACACCTTCGTTGGGTCGTCTCTCAGACATCCACAGTCAAGGGAGGTCACTGTAAAGGTCAGTGTTAGGTCATCTGTATTAAGTCCTTCGGATAGGGTGTTTAAGGTCAAGTCTGATTCAGAAATGGATCATAAGGTTCAAATAATATGTTTCTGCTTAATTGTTGAGTGTGAATACATATACTTAATATGACTTTGCATACAGTTTTAGAAACTCAGAGAACCAATCGCGACTAGCACTTGTGCTACCTTTTAGGTTTTTAAGTTAAAGTTGCAAGTTGAATAGAATAAAACAAGAAAAAAATTAAATTAATAAAACATTGAAAGTTTCATCAGAATCAGATGAAAAATAAGAAAGTTTGGAATTTTAAAGTTTCATATAATTTCATGAAACAGTGAATGTATCACATAGGCTGTATACAAATTAGTGAGTTGATAATACATCCCCTTCACTTTCCCTATGTATTTTGTCTATGAAATTACACAGTTATCCTTTTCTTGGACACCCTGTATAAAAGTGTTCCTTTATAAGTTTCAGTAATGGTGACTTTGCACAGTATTCCATGAGGATTCAAGCCATCTTCTACACTTCCAGAGCAGAAAAGTCATATTTTAGTTTAATTTATGCAAAAAAAAGATAAATAAATGTGAGAGGATGACATCATCAACTCCCTAATTTGCATACAGCCCATGTGATGTATATCACTATTTCATGAAATTATGTGAAACTATAAAATTCCATAATTTATCTTATTTTTCATCCAATATCCAGTACATATCTAATATATAACACTGTACATAAAAAGGAACACACTTTAGTCTACCTCTACCATTTGTTTAACTGATTTCCCAGGTAATAATCTTAATTAATTATCTTAATTATTAATTTCAGGTAAAATTAAGTGAGTTATCCCTGGACAAGCACGCACGATGGAAGTACATTCAACTGGTCGGAGATAGATACGACAAGGAGACAGATATAATCACTATCTCAGCAGACAGGTTAGTCAATGTAGATCATGAAATGAAAAGTTTAGAGGAAACTAGGCATTTAAATAATCCATGTGGTAATGGATTTTGATCTTTATTCATTATTTTTTCAAACCCCTTCTGCAATTGTCTTGGAAAATATGTTGGCATGGTGGGTGAATGAAAAGTGTTAATAATTCCTTTTGAGATTAAGAAATTATCCCTTCGATAATGAGACCTATTGTTATATATTAATAAACGTATAGTTTTGTCTGCAGGGATTACTTTTTAAAGGCATCCACTCAAGTTCTCTCTTTGCCTTCATCTTATCTTTGAAATTTTGATTTTGTCTATTTTGAATCTCTTAAAAATGCATCAATTTGACTTCTCGCGTTGTCTATATATCTTATCTATTAAATGCAATTTTGTTTACATAATCTTGAAAAGGCATCCACTTTATTGTCCCTTTATCCTTTTTCTTTACATGTAGGTGCCCCCTGAAGAAACAGAATTATGATTACTGCATGTATATCATGAGTGTGCTCTATCATGAAGCATGGGTAAGAGTTCATTCAAAATATTCTGTTCTAAAATTTGTTCTGTATTAGTGATGTTGTAAATCAATTAAAAGCATCGTTTAACAATGTTAAATCTGAGATGCATGGCCCTACATGTTATCAGTGTCTGTGATATGGTGTAATATAGAAGCCCTAAAAAATTTGCACTTCAAAATGATCAGGAAGTGCCTCAAAAAGTAAAAATCTTTGAGTGACCGGTTTTCCCATACTCTTTTCCCCTAATAGACTGTAGTGTTATGACAACCGTTAGGAAGACGGGTTTTTGAAATCTCGATTTCCAATCATTAATATCTTGATAATCGGACAGGCGATCAGCTTCTTAAAGTGATGGGGTTCCTAACTGACCGAAAGATTTATAATTATCATAACAGCATGAGCTAAATCCAGGATTTTGTTTCAGAATCTGAGACAAAGATTCCCAATCCCTTTAATAATAATATTGTATGTTTTATAGCACACATATCCACCTCTCAAGGTGCTCCGCCGGCTCTGCTAGGCTACCATTTTTGGTGCTCACCGCATTCAAGGAGTTAATTCCTACCAGTACCCATTTAACTCATGGGTGGAGAGTGGCAAATGTAGACTGATGTCTTGCCAAAGGATAGTAGTGCAGCAGTGGGATTCAAATTGTGAACCATATAAGGAGAAAAACAAGAAGAAAAACAAGGAGAAAAACAAGAATATATACCGATTTTTATTGTACTAATTTGTGAAAATATACAGAATCTGTAGGTGCATGAAATTTTACAGTGGTTGAATATATTCATGATAATTATTTTTGCTCACTATTAAAGTTTGAAAGAGAATGAAGTTTAGCTACCTGTGTGAAACTCAATATTTCATGGCATGATAATTTAATTGTTTTTGAAATGGAAAAATAATGAAATTATGTATTTTCTAAAATAGGAGAGTAGAAATAATGATTAAAGATCATATTTAAATGTTCTTTTGAATGATTCATTCTTAGATCTGTGAGCCCTGGGAATCAGAGATCACTGATGATGACATGGAAGAGTATGTGTGGGACATCAGTCCTTCAAAGACCTCCATCATCAGTACAATAGCCAGGATAAGGAATAAGGTATGTCTTCTCCACTTTTAACAATTGAGGCTCTAGCTGACATGCAGTAGCCTTTAATCGTAAAAGCCTGGTGATACATCTTCTGTTTAAAGAGCCAGCCTTATGAGGTTTTTCAGGGAATTACGGAGAAAGGTGAAGAAATTTAGGTGATATGTTAAATGTGGTCCTAGGACACGTACCCCCTGGACAACCACCCTCTAGGACAACTACCCCTCAGACAACTATCCTAGTGGGCAGTTGTCTGGGGGGTAGTTGTCCAGGGGGTAGTTGACCAACGGGGTAATTGTCTGGGGGGTAGTTGTCCTAGGGGGTAGTCCTAGAGGGTGCTTGCCCCATGGGGTAGTTGTCCTAGAGGTTGCTTATCCTCGAGGTGGTTATCCAGGAATGGATGTCCAAGGGGTAGGTGTCCGGATACGGTTAAATGTAACTAAAATCAATTGTAATGATTCCAACAGTTATTTGCTCATTTCCCTGATTTCCCTTCAAAGAAAAGAATTGCGCAATATCAACTACCAGTCAGTATATTTCAATTTGTTTCTCCCTTTCTTTCTTTCAGACGATGGGCAACGGCGAAGTAGACCCACAGCTGGAGGAGGAGATCTTGGAGAGCAAAGAAGTTCAGGAGCTCAGAGATTCCGTCTTAGACATAAGAAACGCAGGAGAGTCCTTAGACAATCTGGAGAGATACAAAGAAGCAGTGCTGGGGATCGTTCGTAGTAAAGCTACACTAGCAAGCAGTTGATAACCCTTCCTTTATCGATGGACTTTATGAATTTGTGAACCGTGTATGGAGATTCTCGCCCTCTGATTGGTCAACAGTGCAGGCATGAAATTCGCTACTGACCGTTGCCTGCTGGTCATTATGGCAAAATACATTGACCAGGCTTAGTTCTACTTGAGTGTACCATGTGAGGATACAATGGTTGAGTTGGGAGTTAAAGGTAAAGACCAGTATTGGAAACGCCCCAATTTCAAGAAATGAAATGGAAGCTCTCATTACCAATCATGTGAAAGAATATGTTTTGACCAATACATGATGATAACAAATTTACCAGGAAACCGCCTACTAATTCATATATTTGGTAAATTTGTTTCTCTCATGGTCTGTGAGAGATATAGGGTAGTCCCTTATACATCTTTCTGTGTATAGTGCTTGTAACTTTACGAAGAATGGGCCAAATTTCTTATCATTTTGATGATTCCAGAACCTTGCAGATGCTAGATGCTAGATGATCAACCTTTTCTGATCAATTCCACAACGTTTCTTTCACAATGCAATCACATGACCTTAACTGGTCTTTACCTTTAACTATGAATATGCGTAGTGAGACATGCACAATACTCTTAGATGAGTAAATGTCCCTACAAATAAATACATTCTGACATGCATAATTTGTTAAAAATCTCTTTTTGAGAATCGATGCAGGGAGTGCTCTACATAAAACAATTATTCACCCTTTATTTTGGGGGTCATGGATAAAACTATAGCTCCTCTGTGATCTTGAGACTATACTTTACCCCCTCGACTTAAAAGTAAAGACCCATTTTGGAATCGCCCCCCCCCCCCTCTTAAAACATTTAACGGAAGCTCTTCTTACCAATCAGGTGAAAGAATATGTTTTGACTAATACATGATGATACAAATTACTAATTGATATATTTGGTAAATTATCATTATCTATCAGGCCTGGATAGATATCGCATAGTCCCATATACATCTTTCTGTGTACAGTACTTGTAACTTTCCCAAGACTGGGCCAAATTTTTTATCATTTTGATGATTCCAAAAATGCAATCGCATGACTTGCAGCCTTTTCACACACAGCTAAAATTCATCGTATCTAGAGATGATTAGAATCACTCAACATTTTTAAACATGTTTATAGACAAAATTTCCCAGTGTGAACATCGTTTATACGATGTTGGGATAGATACGAAGTCGCGATCCATACGCCCCTAAAAGCAGGCTGCAGATACGAAGTTCGTATCTAGAGAGCTTGACATTTTGTGTGTGAAAGGAAATTCGTGTTTAAACGTGTTTAAACTGGATGGAGCGTGCGCTTTGATTGATATGACATGATCTTCAATGCGCAATGGCACTACTGCGCATTTTACGAGCAGTAGTTAATCACGAAACTATTAACGATCGCAACGAAATTTCTGTGTGTGAAAGGCTCGTGATTAGTTTAAACACGTTCGAAACACGTTTATACTAGTCATGTTTATAGAATTTTAGCTGTGTGTGAAAAGGCTGCAGAACTGGTCTCTACCTTTAATCTCAGGGAACAGTACAGTTTGAAGATCACTAGTTTGAAGATCAATAGTTTTAACTGTGCCTCTCAAAGTTGTCAGTAGTTGCATGTTATTGATTTTAGGATGGACCTAAAGCCCCACTTCACTGCTTATAGCTACTTGCGCCCTCTATTTAGCAAACAATGCCTAATCGGTCCCTATTGGTCCCCCATGATCCTCTTTTCCTTATGTTAATTGAGAGGTGATTTGTTGAGTTAACCACCTGTCAGTGACCTTGCAGGGAGATCTATCCCCCTGGCTAAACTAGTATAGACAGGATTTAAAGTAATTATGAACATAGATTGATACAAAATTTGTTGTCATACTTGATATTCTATTTGATTCAAGCTGTAATAGGGCTTTCAAATCAATGTGGTCTTTGGAAATACTTAAAGGCCCACTGCACTACTTGTAGCTACTTGCGCCCTCTATATAACAAACCATGCCTAATCGGTGACCATTGGTCCCCCATGATCCTCTTTTTCTTATGTTAACTGAGAGCTGAGTTGATGAGATAACCATCTGTCCATTGACCTTGCAGGGCAGTCTAATCCCTCCTGTAAACTATGGCAGATACGCTTTAAATCATACATGTGTTCGCAAAAGAATGAGGCAAAATAGGTTGGGCATTGCCATAGAAAGAACAGTAAGAGATGGGGAGATTAACACTAAGCGCTCCATAAACCCCCGGATGAAAGTTGAAGTGTTTTGATAAATATCTGCCATTGGAGGAAGATCACCTTCTATATTCTTGTGAAGGTCAAAGCAAGTGGGTTTATGGCTTTGTTACACAAGAACGTCAAAGTTTAGTGACCTCATAAAAAAAACGGGCTGCAATAAATCTGATTACCATTGCAAAATTTGTTACCTTGACCCCTTCCTCTTTACCTTATGTTTTGCTTAAAGAGAGTATTGTATTCTCAACAATTAAAAAATCGCCCAGTTTACTGAGAGTATTGTATAAAAAGATTACAGAGATTGAAAACTACTTGATTGTCTTTTTACAATTGTTTTATTGATACACGCGTGCATCCTGTTTGTTTACAAAGTATTGTGTAAAAAGAAAACCGATTGAGAAACTATTCACCGGCTGTCTATGAATGATTTATGGATGTCCAGTATGTGTGGCTCTGATACACTGTGTGATATTGCTATACAGTCAAACCTGTCTATAGTGACCGCCTGAGGGAAACACAAAAAGTGGTCTTTGTAGACAGGTTTCTATAGTACATGTTTCAATAAGAAATCATTTTCAAGGGAAACAAAAAATGTGGTCTTCGTAGACAGGTTCCTATAGTACATGTTTCAATGAGAAACTGTTTTCAAGGAAAACAAAAATGTGGTCTTTGTAGACAGGTGGTCACTAAGACACGTTTGACTGTATTTGGATTGAGAGTAGTGGAGTGAACATTACTATTATGCTGATAGTTAACCAATATACCATTTTGTAATGTAATCAAATTTAATGCATAAATCTTTGTTGAGTGCCATGTTACAAATTATTTCAATTATCTGTTATGAGAAATTGTAATTCAATAGTCAGAATGTGAACTGCATACATTAGTTGTTGCTAGGTAGGACAAACATTATGGCTTGCCCTACCTATCAACACCTTACATATGCATTTTGCATTCTGACTATTGAAATGCAATTATTCACTACAGGTGAATGAAATGTTTGTATTGAGGCACTTCACAAAGACATAATCATTAAATTTGGTTACATTACAAAAATGGTCTTCTGAATACCGAGTTCTGTGATGGCTCAGTGGTAGAGCAGTGGTCTTGTGAGTGGAAGGACACAGGTTAAAAACCAAGTGGATGCTAATCTGTCACAATAAGCTACCGGTATCCTTTCATGGATATTTACTACACTTCTTTCATTGTGCTCTAAGAAAACACACCTCATTTTTTTAGTAAGCCCTGGAACTTTTCCAAAGAGAGTTTCATCCCTGATGCGATTATATCGTTTATTTTACCATTTTGGCAGGAAACTCAGTTCATTGAACTTGACTAGGTAGGCCATTATCATTACACACGTCTGTTTGCAATGTAGCCATATCTACACAGGCTTTGATTGGCATTTTGTTATCATTATATCAGAGTCTTCTTCAAACAAATTAAATTCTTCTTCAGAAAACAGAAGCATTTCTAAATCATGATCTTTCTTTCCAAATGAACTTGATGATGTGACAGATTCTTGTGCCAAAATGTTAGAGAAAAGTTTCTTGAACTTGTTTTGTTGTTGTTTACTTTCATTTTTGAAGCATTGTGTGTGTGTGCGCAATGTTCAGGTATGGCAACATGATCGTCTTTTTCATGAGTGAACATTTATTGTAATGAACTTTATTCTATTATGAGGCATTAGACAAGTACAGTGTGAGTCAGTTTACACTAAGAAAATTGCTAATTATTTTGAAAATCATCTATGAACAGTAAATTATTATACATCTTATGAAAGAGTATTTTATCCCATTTATGGACGAACAGGAGGCATTGTTTGCGAGAGTGCAAAAATCGACTTGCGCCAAAGTTGCTTATGTGATGTTTGAATAAAACAATTGGGATTTGGATATTAATTCGGTCTTTGCACATCCAAATAACATCCCCAACAGAATTAATCATGCCACACATATCAAATATCGAATATAAAATACCAACGAATATTTGTGCGCGTGTGTGTGACTTTGCTTCTGCAAAAAGCATGTGCAATGCATTTCATTTGATACATTCAATTCATTCTCTCACTTTGGCGCAAGAATATTTTTGCACTCTCACAAACAATGCCTCCTGTTCATCCAAGCGTAAATACATACCACTCAAAAATGATACCAAATAATTTGGGATAAAACACTCTTCATAGGATGTATAATAATATACTGTTCATAGATGATTTTTTAACTAATTTGCAATTTTCTAGGTGTAAACTTCTTTTGGACTCGCACAGTAGATGCTTTGAAATGACAATCGGTCTGTCGAGAGCCAGAATGGCGTTAAGTGCAATACTTTGATACAGACTTAACACTCTTCTTGCTCTCGTGTGTTTGGTATGGTTTAATAGAGATGGAAAGACGGTGAAAGGGGGGATTGACAGATGGAGAGAGGGAGGGAGGGAGAGAGAGAGATAGAGAGGGAGAGAGAGAGAGAGAGAGGGGGGGGGGGGGAGAAAGAGGGAGGATCGAGGGAAGGAGGATGGAAGGAGAGAAAGCGATTGAAGGATTTGAGAAGTTAGAGGGAATAGGCCTACTAGAGAAGGAAATGTCTAGTGAATATGGAGCAAAATTTAAAAAAAAAAAAAACAGGGGGAGAAAGAGAGAGAGAGAGAGAGAGAGGAGGCCGGGGAGGGTAGGGTAGAGGGAATGGTTAACGCAATATAGAAGGCTCAATAAAATAATTGTTTGAGGAATGTATACAGTTATTCATCATGACTATTAAGGCCTTTAATGGGTTTGTGGAGGTTTCGTGTTATCATGCTACACAAACATTTTCTTTCCCGCGGCATGCTTGTCCTAAAACCATTATTACTCAAGTAAACCACAATTCGTCGCTTCATGACTTGACAGAATTGCAGTGAAGTGTCGAAATAAATGCAACAAAAGATCAAATAAAGGGCAATTAGATCGGGCAAAGGTTTATGATCAAGTCAAATATATAAATCACTATCTTGAATAGACCCCAGAGTGACTACATTTCCATTGGACATTATTTACTTTGATATGTCCATCTGTTCGCTGGCGACAACCTTGGGTGGGGGGGGGGGGGGGGGGGGAATAA